TCGTCCTTAGCAAAACTGCAATCTACAATGTATATGGTTCATAATTATGGCGGTTTTTCCTTGTTAACTTTCCTATGTGAGCAGATTTATAAAATATCACAAAAGTCTATTCCCAATGTATTTGAAATCTACACTTTCCCTCTGATTATACAGGAGAGTTTGTTTTTTTCCTTCTCGCGTATTTTGCTAATAACCCCATTTCCCTTAAGTTTTTTCAACCCTTAATTTTTAAAAATTTTTAAAATTTTTTGTTTTAAAACGTACAAATTTAGTTTATTTTTTATTTTATTTTAAATTTTTAAAATTTGCCCCTATCTTACTCAATCATTAAAACAATTTTGTGAACGTCATTATGAGGAAATGCCTAGTACGAAATCATGAAAAGATAATTTAATTAAATGTAAACAAAGTGTTTAATGCCATATTCAGCATTTCAAACATAGATTTATCGATTTCTAAGTTTAGTTTTGATATTTGTACTTCTTGTTTTATGGGTTGACAATTTGATTTTGTATAAACATTATAGATTAATTCGTCAAAGTTTAAAACCCATTAAAGCCAACAAGATAAACAAAAGCAAAAAAAGAAGATCTTTCAAGATACGCTTGACGAAATAAATAAATAAATAAAAACAGCAGTTTTTGCCTGAAGTACAAATTACAACGCAGGCTGAATTCATTATTTCTCGCAAATTTACTAAAATTGTGAAACAAAAATCATAAGAAACTGTTAACCATATGCTCCATGTTCAAAATACAGTGTCAAAAATGGACAAAATCGACTGTCATTCGAGTTATTTGCCATTAAATTGAAAACTTGTTATTTCAAAGGCAAAGAATTCACTACTAAGTTAAGCAAATGTTTTTTATTTGCCCTTTTATTTATAAGCTACTACAATCGAGATGATTTGCAAAAAATTTTAAAAATTTTTTAAAACGGTTTTATTTTTTTAAACCCTTTAAAATGTATCTAATTGTCTTTAAGGAATTTTCGACTCCCTACCCCCAAAAGAATGGGAAAATTTTTATTAGATTTTTCCTTCGGCTACGAAGACAAACAAATACGGTACGTATTTAAGACAGAATCTAAAAGTTTTATTCATAACGTTCTGCAATTTATCTTCATTCACAGCGCAAAGTTTACAATATTGACCTAGCATGCCCACTAAAATAACTGATTGTTAACGATATAATAATAAGATTTTAATTAAATATAAATAAAGACGTTTACATTTTATGATAAATGACGAGCCGTTTTTAGACACAATCGTTTGATCTGACGAACAGCTGGGTACATCTTTGCATATCAAAGGCATTTTGATTCATAACTTTCCTAGAAAAAGTTTTGTTGAAATGCAATTCGTTTCTTAATCTTTCACAAGGATATAAGTATGACCGATTAATTTGAAAGTGTTGAATGGCCAATAAAACAGTAGATAATAGTGATAAATAGGTTTATTACTTGTTTGTTTTAAGAATAAGTGTCTGGTTCGACAGATGATTTATCACATCGGAAAGTCATTTTTATAAAATATATACTTTTAGCTCCAAGAAGTCAGCTCAGACATCGTAAATCGAAATCAAATGTTTAACCAACCTTGGAACTTCGACGTGGACCTGAGATCATCGTCTAATTTAAATGAAAGAGGAAACTTCAAGCTTGGTAAATAGGTTATAGTATACAGAAACGCGGTAACGTTATATCCTGAACAGGACCATATTAAACAGAAGAAGAAGAGAAAAGGAAAAAAAAGAAAGAAGAAGAAAGAAGAATCTCCTTCCGTGAATCATCTAATTAAATTTAATTTTTATTTTCATCATATATATCACGGGAAATTTATTTAGAACTATTCATTAAATCGACTCAAATTTTTATGGCAAGTGTAAGCAATTGATCGGCCGGCAAAAAAAAAATTTTCGTTGATCACCACTAAATCAAAGTTTGAAGACAATCGTTGTTTTTAAAAAATTTCATTGATTTTGTTTTAAAATGAATATTTTTTTACTTCGACTATTTTGGCCTGCTTTAAAATTTGAAAACAGTCATGTTTTCCATATTGTTTTTGTTTTGTTTGGGCTTTACGGTCCGACCGAACCAGCAGAGGTCAAACGGCGACTTGCAAGCGGTATTGATTGAGGAAAGCCCAACGGGACTCCTCATTGCATTTTTAGGGCACGGGCGGGCGTTTTAGAATCAACATGTTAAATACTTTCGTTTTAACATCGTGGAACTATTTTATTTCAACTTTATTGTGCATTTCCTCATTTTGTTTATTAAATTCATATTTATATTCTTTCTTCATACATTGGTAATAACAATAACATATATATGGCTTTTCCTTCGGTTCAGTCAAGTAAACAAAGCAATGAGGAAATAAATAAATAAATTTATTTCTCAGCAGCGCTTCTTTCTTTGAGAATAATTGCTACATTCGAAAAGATGATTGGCAAGTAGAATTTATACAGTTTTGTGTGAGAAGTTATATAATCCATCACGCTCTTTATATTCTTATATCTAAAATGCAATATGCTCATTGGTACGTTTTTTTGACTTCAATTACGTTCGTGACGGAACGTTTTGGGATCTTGAAGTTTTTGTTATAGCAAGAAATAAACAATGATAAATCTTATTTATGTTTGATTACTTTTTCAGGGTTGATTGTGTGCAACTGAATTTAATTAAAGTAAAATTTTACAGGTCGGAAAAGTTCCCATACATGAAAAATGGAATTGATTAAAAGGAAATAAACGTCAACAAAACAAAAACCCGTAGTAGCAGTTTTTGGTTGCCAATACGTTTGTTAGAACGTCAACTGTGAAGTATGTACCTTAAGAAACTAAACATTTTCTACTAATAGGGAGCGGTGACCTAAAGGGACGGTTTGAGCCGTACTGGGTCACCATTTAATGCCTCAAAATGACACTAGAAAAATGTTAGTTAAATATGGTGGCTGATTTGTGCCATGTCGTTTTTTATTTGCTCCGCGGGGCGCCAGACGCAAACACGAAAATATGACGATATGACCACTTTAATGCCGTTCTGTCGCTCTACGGGGTGCCAGGAAGCGGATCACAGCATGGTGTAAGGAACAAGTTTTAGTCATTATTGAGTTTGGAATAAATGACATTAAAATTAACTGAATACCTCAACTCCCTAGTAAAGTGAACATAAATTCGGGCGAAGGTTATATAAGAGACAGCTGTAATGATGTAGTCGTATATACGGACAACAAAGAAGAATTATTATCCAATGAGAGACGACATTTTAATCGCACAATATTTTTTTATGTTTTTTTTTCCACAGGTCCAGAGATAAGGGATATCGACACTTACATCTTGTATGATTTTATAATCCGAAAATGTATACAAAATGAGATATTGAGTGGTAAGAAAATGGCAAAAAGACATTTAAGATACTAAAAAGCAACGTTTATAATCTAAACAGCATTCTTGTTGGGTGATCCCAGTATTCCTCACTTGATTACTGTTGAATGACCCTTAGGATATGTGACCTGCTTTTTAAATTTGTCTTTTGACGTCTTATCTGTGATATGCAGGCTTCATAACATCTGATCCCCTTTCAAAATTCCATTTTGTTTAGTTCCGCCCATTGTTTTCTAGTTTAGGGCACACGCATTATTTTTTACTTGGAGACCATATGCCACTTTTCATAGAATGGCACTTACGTGTCACATTGAAGGTTCCATGATAACCGCCATATGAACACATCTGCGGATGTTTCAAAATTCAAATTTGTACCAGTTTATGTTAAATGTTGAATTCTGCTTAAGCCGGTGCTAGGGGGCGTGGACGGTAGTTTGCGTTTGACAGTACCGTCCATGAACAGGCTCAATCAAACAGAGCCTGCAACCTTTTCAATTTTCATTGCCGTGTTGGGCTTTCTTTAGGATTTCTTATTTTCTCTATTTTACAAATGGAACATTCGTTGTGTTTTTACTTAAACTAGGGTGAAAATCAAAATGAAAAACGTTTGTTCCAGTCCACGGACAAAATAAATTTCCATTACATGCTGTAAAAGGCATTATAGAGCTGCATTGCTTATTTCTTAGATGATTTTATGTACTTTTAATGTTAAACAGTAGTGTAAGCGTTTAAATTACAAACACTAATGCCCATTAAGACATTAAATATTTAAATTGCTTGACAGCTACATTGTTTCACTAGGACATTTGAGTTCACAAATCACCTGTCAAAAAAGAACTTAATATAACTTAAGGTGATAGTGTCATAACGTGAATATATTATAATTTATTTCAGTTTACTTGAACTTTGGTGATTTAATTTATAAAAAAAATCTTCATAACAAATAAAGAATACAAGACATCTGACCGATTCTATGTTGCTACGTTCACATTTATGTAATTTTAAGCTTAAAGGCCCATCACGCCCCTACCTCCACCACCCCGAAGAAAAAATGTAATTTTAATTTCTCAAAACTCCTTTGTTTTATTTTCAAAACTATATCAATGGCAATAAAGCCGAGCCATAACTGGCTTCTGTTGGACATTGGCCAGCAGTATAGTTTTAGTGATATTAAGTATTTTGTATGGAAGTCAAAATACTACTATGCTTACACTTTGCTACTTTAATGAAACATTTCTTTCACATTGAACGCCATTTTTTCCCAATTGATAAGCATCTAAAATGTCCTTTATTCATTATAATAAAAAAACAATATTTAACACATGTTTGCATTATCTGGAGGGCTTCTGAGGCTTTATGTACCTTTAAAATATCTTTTTGTCTGTATACGTATCTATACACTAAAGAATTGTCCTAAATCTTTAGTACCTTCTTTACTATGTAGGCAATAAATGTAATGAACTTCAAAGAGTTCATAATTCAAATTCATACTGCCTATCATAACAATGAAACAATAGACCACAAATAAGCAAAAAATTTGGTTATAATTACGCTGGCTATTCAACTGACAACTGTACGCCTGAGGACATTTGACGGAGTTTTATACGTCTTCACGTTAACAACGTTGACAGTCCGCGATTTTACGTTGAAGACAGCGAAAGATTCTCTTCAGCGTTCTCATAAAATAACAAGGACTGCATATATTTATTTATTTATTTAACATATCCAGTTCAGATAGAAATAATTTAATTGAAGTTAAAAAAGGGAATATTTCGAATTTTGTTATAAATTAAGAACGGACTAAATGTGATTTTAACGGATAATTTAAATTATAAAGGTAGGAAATGTTCAGTAGAACCTTTATTTTAATCTCTTTTTGTTATATTAATATTTTTTCTCGCTTATTTCAACACATTATTATTTTGGTAATAATTCGGCGGACTCTACCTAACTGGGTTTTCTAGATTACTAACCAGTAGTTACCAATTTCTCCTCAAGTGATCTACAACTTATCCCACATTCCCTTTTTTAAGAGCGGTGAGAGGGCAAAAAAAGAAAACCCTTTAGGGCTTTAATGATCCCAATTTTTCAAGGGAAAAAATTTCGTCTTGGGGAAAGGAATTTTAATAAACTACCCCTAAATAACTAACCTGATGTTCTTATTATTTAACTAAACGCGGATAGTAGCAGTGTCAAAATAATTTTGTATACTCAGTTGTATATTAAATAATAACAAAGTAGTTACTCGTACATCTATGCTTTTGCTTAAAATATCGCAACCGAGTTGTACACAATTGATAAATTGATATATGTTTTTGATACTAACCAACGACTCTGTAAATGTGTTTGATGAGAACTTTGTCACATGTGTTGATGCCTTTTTCTTTATAAAAATACACCTTGTCATAATAACACAATATGACGCTACGGACTTCAAGAACAGTTATTTGATAATTTGGACATAAAAAAATAATGTCACAGAAAAAAGTTTTCCTCACATAGTTTCACCTAGAATCATTTTATGACCATTAAAATGTTGTCCCAATTGTAATCAGTTGTGCACACAATAACAAATATTTAATATAATGAAATTCCGATTACAAATTATTTTGTATTAAATGTTCTGAAATAATAGCTGTTAAAATTGTATTGTAACTTTCAAATCATTTATGTTAAACGTTCTGAAATAATAGCTGTTAAATTGTATTGATAACTTTAAATATTTTATTCGAAATTAAAAACATTGTAAACTTGCTATTATTATTTATTCTTATCTTGCTTTTGATTATTGTTAACTTGCTATTAGGTAATGTTATCTAGCTATAAAGTTATGTAAACTTGCTTTTAGAATTTGCTATCTAATAAGTACAAGGAATTGTTAACTTGCCATTAGGTTATGTTAATTTGATATCTATAAAGTGGTATTACATTGCTATTAAGTGACGGTATCTTGCTATTAAGTGGTGATATCTTGCTATTAAAGGCCAATTACGCCCCAGAAATGCTTTTATCTTATGTCACAGAACAGAATTAATTTCGGTCTCTTGTAACAGCTTCCAAAACATCTTTAGCACTGAGACAATTGCAAAATTATAGTGAATTAGTATTTTGTATGGATGTCAAAATACTACGTGTTTACATCGTGATACATTTCAACACATAACTGCATGTTAAACAATATTTTGCAGTTGAAAAACATCTCATATGCTCTTAATCCATTCAAAATTCAAACATTTTGACATTTAAAAAAAATATTATTGAAACATATTACGCGACAAGAACAAAGAACTTTAGCTTAATAGGGCAATAATCCAGTAGTTACATTTTGTTTCTTTATTGACAAACTATAATATATTAAGAGCTATTTTCTTCAGTTGTTCAGCATCCGACGTGACCCAAGACTATTATTTAAACATCATAAAACTAGTGTTTGCCTTTTTTTTTTTAAAAAAAAGAAACATTTTTTTTGTTTACTAGGCATAATGTGCCTTTAAAGACAAAATATGAATAATGCATGATTGTTTTAATTTCTATATTATGTTAGCGGTCAAATAAATATAAATTATTTATTAATTAGCAATAAAGCGTGAAATTTAAATAATTATAAACAATTGACACTTGGTAATAAAGCATGCACGTGGTTTAAATTTGACTAAAATTCAAAAGTGATTTACAATTGTAATGAACTTGAAATGATCAAAGCTATAAATCTTAATTAAGATAATTTAAATATCTGTCAGATACATTACTCATAATTATATACTGGAAGCATATTGAATACATTTAAATACATATACTTGACCTTATGGCATGTCAAACAATGCATTTCTCCAATCGTTGATGTCAGTAAGCTTTCATAAAAACTGCATTAAACGATAGACTGAATTTCTGTTCGTAAAATTATAATATTATGCTAATTTCTATTTCCTTTGCATCATTACACACCAACCATTTTATATGCATACTTTATACATACATGTGCTCGTATTATAAGTTAAAACCTAATTCCGATTTAAAACAATCAATTTCAACACTCATTCCTCCACCATTAAACATAACAAGAATATATTTCGTTTTGTAGAAAAGTATTGAACTCACCAACGGTTATTTGCAATGATGCGTTGTAAACATCAAATCTTAGCTAGCTGTGGCTTAAACCCAGTCTTTCAATTGTCGATTTTAAACAATGTGTCTTTTACCCAGGATCTACTTCATTTTAAACAATGTGAGTTAAACCTTGGCTCTTCTCTGTTTCATGTTCTTCCCCATATCAAACAATACGGCTTTAACTTGGTCTCCACTCAGTTTCAAACAATTTAGCCTTAACTGAGGCTGTGCTCTATTTCCAACGATGTAGACCTTCCAATAATTTATGAAGATAGATTGACATGCTGTTTTAGACCATGGCATTTTACAAAAACAATGAGTTGATAAAGTGAGCCATGTCTTTCCTCTCAGTTAATATGTGTGGCTCTCAACCAAAGTGTAATGTTTTACTCGGGTCACGACCATGGATTCTTATAGATAGGATCAGGAAGCGAACTCGAGATTGATTCATATGAGCCGCGTCACAACAAAACCAACATAATGGGTTTGCGACCAGCATGGATCCAGACCAGCCTGCGCATCCGCGCAGTCTGATCAGGATCCATGCTGTTCGCTATCAGTTTCTCTACTTGTGATAGGGTTTGTAAGCGAACAACATGGATCCTGATCAGACTGCGCGGATGCGCAGGCTGGTCTGGATCCATGCTGGTCGCAAACCCATTATGTTGGTTTTGTCTTGACGCGGCTCATATTAGCTTTCACCGCAGACGACAATACGAACATGTATGTTAAAAACAATGTCGTCCTTGCACAAATGATTCAACTATTTTTGTAAAACGTGTTCATCAAAAGGGAGCAATAAGTGTCGTCTGCCCCAGCGTCGTTTGTAAAGGTTCTTGATAGTATCTTTACTTTGTCACAAAAACATATAGCAGATGATCTTTATAGGTGTCTTTATATACGACTGTCTCCAGTCATTTGTCGTTAATATTCAGTTAACACCTTTACTCATGTAATATGTCATTTACTTGACCATAACAAATAAAAACATCATTAACAATTATGCTGGTATTAGTGCATTAATGAGATACGCTCCAGGCATATTTACACATAATAGACATATAGGTCAGAATAGTATGTCAAGAATGACTTTTACACGTGTAAAAATAAATTGAACAATCCATGTATCTACATTATAAATACATCTGTGCATTTAGCTATTTCAATCTTTTAAAAAGAAATAGCTTTCTAATCACTTATATCTGTTTGGGGCTATATAAGTATAAGATATATTTAATTATTTATGTAGATATATCAGACAAAACAACCGCTGCCAATCAGGTATTTGCCGCGCAATTAAATTGGCAAAATGTACACCGCTGCATGACTGTCTCTAAGAACTAAGATAACTTAAGCAATACGATTTACTGGGATAGTATGTCCTAAGAATGAAAAGGAATTTAACAAACATATTTATTTTATTTATTTCAGATGTCTACAGTTTTATCACTAGTAACTTTAGTGTCAATACTTTTACAAACAGTCGTTTCACAAGGTATGTATGATTTGAAAATGTATGTACAAAACACAACTTATTTGTCGTTGTCTGTATGTGGTGTAGCAAGTAGGAGTAATTTATGAATTCTGCTTACACTGGTGCTAGGGGCGTAGACGGAAGCAACCGCTTCCAGTACCGTCCATGAACAGAACAGGGTTTTCAAACCGTGCCTGCAATATTTTCAATTTTACCGTTTAGGTATATCTAAGGTATTCCGTTTTTTCTCTATTCTAACACAAAACTCTTACTTGGCTGTCAATTCATGAATTTATAATGTTTAAAACATGTACTAATATGATAAATCATTGGGCTAGATAGGGGATTGGGAAATCCCTACCCGTTGATGATGAATTCCATCAGGAACGCGTCTTTCCATGCTTTTGTTTGTTTGTTTCATTTTGCGCCTTTTCCCAACAGTATTTCAGTCATATAGGCGGGAAGTTTCCTAACCATCAAAGTGTCAATAATAATGTTTATGAAGAGTTCTGTCAAATCAAAAATTGTGCAAATTTTAGTAACAACCGGAAGGAAAATACTGTAGGATAAAAGTTAGAATTAATTTGCTTCAACTCCGTTGACCCTCTAGCACTCACTTTAAGCATTTAGCCATAATGAAGTTTTATTAGTGTTTAAAGAGAATTGAACATTTCGTAAGTGTAGCAGATTATATAATGTAGCTCCTATGAGATATATCTTTAGTAACATTTCCGGTTTTCTTTGCCCGGTTAGTGAAAATATATAAATGTTGGTCAAGGTTATCCAGTTTGAACTTTGTCCTTTAAGTGCTTTTCGTAATAAGAAATAAACGATCAGTCTTTCCACACAACAAACATTTATCTTATGACTTCGCTGCGGTCACTGAACATTGCGGTAACTATGTCGGTTGATACCAACTCATAAACAATGACTATGTCGATGAACGCTTTCTATATATCAGTTATATTTGAGCCGCGTCACGACAAAACCGCTTACAGACCCTATAACAAGTAAAGAAACTGATGGCGAACAGCATGAATTCTGATCTGACTGCGCGGATGCGCATGCTGGTCTGGATCCATGCTGGTCGCAAACCCATTATGTTGGTTTTATCGTAATGCGGCTCATTTAACTTTCTTTGTAATGAATCTACTGGAAAATGAAGTTTAGGTTTAGTAAAGAGATAATTTGCCAGAAAATTGACATTGAGAGAAACCCCTTAATATATATGTTTACATAAACAGAAAGTAAAAATTCAAGGAAAGCTGTCCTTATAAAAAAAAGGTTGTAAAAAGAAAGAAATTGAAGGAAAGCCCTGTGATATAAGAAAACGTGTTATCCGGAAATATTAATTGACGTAAAATATAAATGAAAACCCGTCAGCATATAAACGTGTTGTTAAAAATAGATGTTGAGGGAAACATGTCTATATATAGATATGTTGTCAGACAAAAACGGAGTTGAAGAAAAACATTGCGCAATGGACTATATTTTATTGTTACTTTAAATTACATCTGAATGTGACATAATACTGACAATTTAAAGCTTAAACATTGAAAATAAATGCTTTCTTACGTTGCCTATGACATATGCAGTCATCTTTTTTTATGATCATTTATGCAGAAGTTTGCATACATTTGCATTTTAAATACAATTATTTTTGATGATTCATTTCGGGATTATTCGGAACTATTTTAAACATACTTTTGCTTATTTATAACAAAGAAACCCACGTTTTACCATTTATATTACACGGCTATGACGCAACTAAGAACGATGGGAAGGAGAATTCCCCTAGAGCAGAGTACACATGCACGTAATCGACGCGATTTTCTCTCTAGTTGTTTTCAATAAAAAACGAGTTAATACAACAATAAACTGCAGATCACATTTAATTCAATAAAATGAAAATCAAAAATGCATAATGAACTCAAAATTACAATATATTTGACTTAGAAACGTCTACATCATCGTTGAAACTAGCTCTTGCATGTTCAGCCTTGTCACGTGATTCACTTAATATATTGGTAGACCGTAGAACCAATAGAATGTTGGTCATTTCTGAGGATGAAATGAAACATATTTCGCATTTTCCCCATTGAACAGGTTTCATTTTTCTGTACGCTTTGTGCGGCTTTTATAGTCGACATACACATAAATAAAGAACAATAAACAAAGAAGTGAAAAGCAACACTCTCCGGGAGGCAAGGATTTAGGTTGTTCATGGGAGGTATTTCTCTAGAGAAGTTAGATATAATAATTATTGTGAACCATAATTTTGGGAAGAAATGATACTGTTGTTGTAGAGAGCCTACGGCTAACGGCCTACAGAAGGCCTTGCAGAGGATGTAATGTAAAATACAAATAATTAATCACGAACAATGTTTATGTTCCAAACTGTAATTTATTATTATACCTTGAAATATGCTAATATAGCACGCTTATTTTCAGGCGGATACAAACGAGTATGTTATTACACCAACTGGGCTCAATATAGACCAAAGGAAGGCAAATACCTGCCAGAAGATGTCGATGCAAACCTATGTACACATATTGTCTATGCATTTGCAAAGTTGAAAGGCAACAGACTTGAACCTTTCGAATGGAATGACGACTCCACAGACTGGATGAAAGGAATGTAAGGAATTATTGTTATCTATAGATTTTATGGATTGATTTCTCAATTTATATAATTCAGTTTGATTAATAAAACACATTTCATAAAACTTTATAGGTTTGATTTATACTGACAGAACAGCACTGTTGGAATCATATTAGAACGGCATTTTGGTCAATTCCAAATATGTTAAGAAGTGTCATATTCACTGAACAAATTCCAAACAAAAACGTCGACATATTTGCGGAAAAAACAGTTGTATCATTTTCATAAGTTTTTATTTTTTGCCTTTGTCTGTATAAACTTTCAAAATCTTCTTTAAAAGCATTATGCTTTCTTGGATTTGAGCACCTTACGTCATTTTCGACTTTTCGGCCTTTTCCGTAAATAATCGGATAAAAAAATACTCGCATCATACGTGGGGAAATATTTTAATAACATAGATCGGATTCATTGTTTGCATTAAAAAATAAACTCAACTTGTAAATATCACTAAATTGAATTGTAGTTTTGCATAATAAAATTAAATTTATTTGGCAAAATTTACTTAATAGTTGCAATTATGATAAATCATTGAACTTTACGAACTGAAGTATATAAATATTATAGAGGATGATAGAACAAAATGTTCTCCCGAGACAAAGAATGTCTATTAAGGAAAAGAACATCTTCATTTACCAATAAATTCATCTTTAATTGTTTGTTTGATAAATGTATTTGACAAGGAACTAAAGTAATAAAAGGAAAACTATGAAAAGATGTATGTATTAAATTGACAAGGAACGAACTGATAAAAAGAAGAAAGCATGTATCATTTTGTTTATCACGATCCTTCATCCGAAATATACCAGGAAGCCATCACTCATATGTTCTCAACAATTTCTTACCTAGATGTCCAGATGTTCAAGTTACACATTATTTAATCCTTATAATGGTTAAGAATAACTTGGAAATAAATAACATCAAACGAAACTTCGTAAATGTCATCCAAATTTTGGTATGTCCTGGCGTTCAACTAATAAAAAAATCAACAACGCCACAAGCAAAAAGGAAACAAAACTCCATCTACACATAGCCTTCGTTTTGTTGCTGAATTTGCCGAATATAAACGAGCTAGTTAAAATGATATACTTTGAAAATATGCATTAAATATGCTAGTTCAAATTGAAAATTCATATTTTTGGTCTCACATTGTGAAATGAAGAGGCGGTGTACTACCCTTAGGTTATAATATTAGATTCCTTAATAATATACCAAACGATCAAAGAATATGTCCTCTTTGTTTTACGGATCTAGATGATGAATATCACATTCTATTGATAATCATTCGCTTGCTATTTATCGTTTAACAGGTATAATAGATTAAATGACCTGAAAATGAAAAACCCAAGTCTGAAGACATTACTGGCAGTAGGTGGCTGGAACATGGCATCTAAACCTTTCACAGCAATGGTTGCCACTCCGGCAAGCCGCCGGGAATTTGCAACAACATCTGTACAGTTTCTCAGGTAAGAATTTATCACTCTATCTTTTTAATGCAAATTAGCGGTTAGTGTGTCCTTAAGCATTGTTTTCTTAGTATGAAAAAGTAAAATTATAAATGTAGTATACCGGGAAATGGTTTAAAATGCTTGAAGAATACTGTCCTTCGTGAAGTTTGTGTCATCCTTGTACTTCAAATTGTGATAAATTGTTGCGTGTCCTTAAAAATACATAAATATATAAATTTCATGTGAAGGCAAGAAAGAGAATATTACACTTTTTATTATAATTAAATAGATACTTTTAAATACAATTCTGAAAATTAAGCATTACAAAGAAAATCTTAAATATTACTACGTCACGAGGATAAACCTCATTCGGAGTAAATTACTCTAATGCTTGTAGTATTTTAAAAAGCGGGATAGATAAGGATAAGTAAATGATAATGTTCTCCCACAACCTTCTCCCCTGTAATAGAGAACTCGGTTGACTGGCAACTCGTAGTCATCCTAATAAAATAATAATAATAATAATAATAATAATAATAATAATAAAAGTAATACTTAGTGATAATAATAATAATAATGAAACAACACAAAACGTTACAAAAACATTTTATTGGAAACAATGGCTACCTGTTTCAAACTGTTACCGATTAAAGAGTCAAGTAAATTTCTTTTTTCATTCAGTTTTGTTTTGTTTAATGTGCGACTTTTATTGTTTTCCATGATTACCTTCATTTGTCACTTCAACAAAAACATGATGAATTTGCATGTTACAGAAGTGACAAATGGTAGAAAGTAACAATTGGCAATAAATTGTCTACCAAAAAAATTGTCTACCAAAAAGAAATTTTCAAAAGACTGGCTGAATTTGTACAAGTTTTGGTTGTGTAAGCCTTGGTTTTTTTATGTTTGTTTTTTGTGTTTTTTTAATCCTTGCATAAACATAAATAATAGTTAGAGAATAACAAGTTTCCCTCAAGTCTCATTTCTAATCATCTGGAAAAAATATGTAAATTGCTTTCTATTTTTGTATTTTGATTGACTGCATAGATTTCTATATAATCTGCTTTAATAAAATTTTAACTGTACAATTTTAACTATTTATCACTTTCTATAATTGGCCAAATAGAAGCACTTCTACGTAAATGAGTGTATGCATGCTACAGTTATATAATATTCAATAAGATACCTTAGAAGTATGGCTTTGTTAAGCTTATGCCTTAAAATGTCTCATTCAAAATCAAGGGCAGATAACTCGGAAACAAGCTTATTTACCCGCAATTGATTTTTCCCTTACATGTAGAAGATCATGCAAAGTGTAAATAAAAATTTTGTTATTTAGTTTTCAACATTTCTTCATGTCTATTATGTTACTTAAGCACATACATTTTACACATTAGTTCAATATCATCTCTAGCAGTACAACTAGACTAGTACTACACCAAAACTGTTACTATAAGTGTACATGGTGTATGTTCATTGTAATAAAGTGATGAACCTAATTGGCTACATTGCTTTTCTTTCTTTAGATGTAATTTATTCGTATTTTTGTTTCAACTTAGATAGATTTATTAATGTCTACTTATTTGGTTACAATTGTTGAACATGCAATTATGATGTAATCGAAAAGGCAAACCGTCACATAAAATTTTATTTGAAATTGCATAAATTTTACTTCCTGCTGCAACCTTTTGTTGCAGAAATGTCAAATTTTATAATCAGTTTAAATGATATAAAATCTAGAAAGGTAAGCGATAAGTAAACTCTTTAACTTTAATGAATGTTTCTACATTTGCATTTATAGAATAGGAACAATAGCATTAAAACTGAAATATTGCTTCCATGGCATTTCAAGAGGAAACAATGCAACTAAGAGCGAACGAATGAAAAATCAAACTTTATGATATTGCATTTTAAATTAATTAAATATTTTTATAACGAGATTTCGTGCCGATATGAGTTGTCTTAAGTCAAAGGCTAAACAAATTTCTTACGTACCATTTTGCTAATCTATATCAAACATCACATGGCATAATATATGTACGTAGTTGCTATATTGTTGGTACTTAAGATGTTTAGATGTATTTATATGAATTTGTTTAGATGGATAACGGTCTGAAGCTTTGAAAAAAAAATAACTTCAAAAAATACGTTTAAGCAGCATGCCTTCAAATTAATGCTTATTTTTCATGAAAAGTACTAAAAAGAAAAGTGTGAACATAAAAAGTAATTTCTCATATTGAAAGGCACTTGCAATCCATGTAAATTATCGGAAATAGGTTAAAATATTCAAAAAAGCCATAACTGCGTAGTAGAAATATGGTAATAAATACGATAAAATCAGTCATTAATTGCCCATACCATGTTAAATATTACCTAAATCTTGAATCTTTTTTACTATTTCTAAAATCTTAGTACATTTTTCTCAAGTGGCTTATTCTGGAGGTATGGAGCTTTACAAAAAAAATAGACCATTAATGTTCATATTGTGTAAATAGAAACTGGATAAGGAGCAATTTAAATATTGTTTCTACATCAGTTTTTTTATTACGTTTGTGTGTGTTATTTCGGTTCTATTGGTTTTATACAACCACTTGATTTATTGATTTCCGTTTAAATTGCCTTTATGAAATGCTTTGTCAATTTGACGAGAATTATATGGTAAAATTGATAACTAACATAGCTATTTGCCTTTACAGAGACCGTAAATTTGATGGTTTGGACTTGGATTGGGAGTACCCTGCAAACAGAGGTAGCCCGCCCGAGGACAAACAAAGGTACTCGGAACTTGTTACGGTAAGTAAAGACTTTTATCACATACATTACTCAAATTGTAGATTAAAATGAGAAATTTTGCAACCAGGAGTAAATAATTGTTCGCAATTTCAGAATTCTACCAGACTCTATATACTTCCGGTTACTCAAATTTTGCATTTTAATATTTCAACCCCTAGCAATGATAAATATACTGTCCAAAGTAGGACTCTTCCGTTTCAAGAAATCGTGGATAAAAATTTTAAACGCAGTGAATAAGAGGAAGCGAATTTACGCGCTTACGATTTTCAAATAAAAGCTTTTTTATTTAACATGTGAAGAAAGCTGACAGGTCACGTCAACTTTATCTTTATATATTATTCTCATAAAAAATGTATAAATAATCGCAACCAAAATGATTTAGGAGAAAGGCTGCTAGGGTTAAATGAAAGAACTAATTTGTTAATTTGAAATTTTAAGAAAACTTTGAGGCAATAAACCTGTTAAAGGAACTTAGAAAAAACAACAATTCTGATGCAATATACGGATTAAGAAAACTCATAACTAATTGAGAGCGGAAACTTATTGCGGAAAATAAACAACAAGGCTTTAAGAAAAGCAAAACTAAAGAAAGGAAGACAAACATAAACACATAAACAACATACCCCCCCCCCCCCTCAAAAAAAAAGAAAAAAAAGAAAGAAGCCCCCCCCCCCAAAAAAAAGACAGAAAAACACACCAAAACAACAAACAAACAGAAAAAGCTAAGTGATATATGTACATGTATAAATGCCTGTAATAAGAGGATTAACTCGGGTTCAATTAAGACTATGTTATGTATATAAATAAACATAATTTACGTTTTTCTTTTATGACAGCGTAAGTTATAACTCTGCATTATCCGGTGTCACTGTGATAAATTGATGTATGTATTTACTTTGCTTTCCCGTATTTAATGCATATCTGCAATAAATTGCTAAGAGAATACGAAAGACCGGTGGTGACATTTCAACTTCTTGAACTTCAAAAATTCACAACTGTAACTTCACAAATTCAACGTCGTGAATTAACATTTTGAACTTCACGATTTCTACTTCGAAATTTACGATTTCAACTTCGTGAATTCACTATTTCAACTTCGTGAATTCACGATTTCAACTTTGTGAAGGTGACATTTTGAATTCATGTAGTTGAAATCGTGAAGCCCAAACCCTGAATTTATGAAGTTAAATTCATGAAGTTGAAATCGTAAATTCGTGAAGCTGGAATCAGGAAGTCACGAATTTTAAATGGTCGTGAAGACCCAATGTATAACACAGACAAAAAACGGATAAAAAATTAAAAGAATTAAAAAATGACGTCACCCTTAGTACATCCAATCCATTATGTCTGAAACAAATTGTTTATTTTTTGTAGGAAATACGCCGAGCTTTCGACGAGGACGCCAGGAGAACTGGTAGAGAACCTCTGTTGCTGACGTCAGCTGTCGCCGCCGGGAAAGATAAAATTGATACAGCCTACGATATTCCGTCCGTCTGCAGGTATAAACCTTAAATATTTCATACGCAAAGACGCCTAAAACCCACCTTCCCCGCCCTACAATCCAATGTGACTGTAACGTAACCCAACCAAACCTTGCGATTACTCGGACAAGAAGAAAAAACAACAACAATATTGACATTCAGTTTTTTATTCTATATAGACAACGTTTTATAGGCAACAAAATTTTTATATTGCCCAATAGGGTGTTTATTCCGTTAAACTACTATTACATATTATTGAAAACAACATCCAAATTAAGTGCATTATTGTTGTCTGTTGTTACGTCTTTTAATTTCGATTCTTCGGTATTCTTGACAACGAATAGCGTCATTTTTAGACACTAAGCATGCACCAAAGTTTGAATATAATCTGTTAAATCAAGTTCATGGAACTAAATATCATAATAAAAGTACATATATTTTAATATCTGTTCAGTTATTAAGACATTTATGTTAATCTGAAAATTTGTTTAACCGCGCATATTAATATTGATTTTTGTAAATAATTTACTTTGATCTCGAAAGCCGCAAGCGTCACCAAATCAGCATTAACGTTTCCTGTTTGTTAAGAAAATGTAAATGTTTTGTTTAAATTTAATCGTAAATCTTATTTACCGCAATACCTAATGCAATATTTTCCCATTAACCATCTCTTTAAATTCATGAATTGCATCGGTTCAAAAGGGTAGACTGATCCCCAGGTTTATTTATTTCCTGTGTGACGTGAAGGTCAAAATTAAAACCCATTTGCCTGCCTACATAAAATGTTTACCTATTTACAACGAGACATATTTAAGCGTTCACATAACCCATTGCTTGACGGTTAGGGTGAAATAAGGAATAAATAATAAACAACACGTTTAACTTAGCTGTAAGGGCCTTACTTAATCTGTTTTGACGTGCCTTTAGTAGAATGATGACATCAGGAACGTTTCAGTATACACTTTTCAATAAATCTTATTGTTTAAAATTTATGACTATCATTAATTGAAACCAAAAAAAAATATGAACGTCATTTGCATGCATCTAATGGTTATAATTAGTGGATTCAAATATGCTGATAAAGCGTTTTTGAAATGAATGGCACTGAAGTTCAATCGGTCCTTGTGCATATTTTCATTTATTTTATGTGCACATCATATATTAAACGCATGCGTATTAATTTTTTGAGACATATTTTAACAGTAACATTTACAAAAGAATGGTAAACGAATGGCACGTCAAAGTTAATAAATGATGTAAGCGTGTAAGTAACGCAATCATAACACCAGGCTTAACTATCAAATATATCTTAATTTACGGCTACTGAGTAAAATGCAATCATACAGCACGTTTCTCTGATTTTATTTGCACGTGCGATATATTTTAACGTGACATCTCGTGCAGAAAAAAATAAGATAATAATTATGAAATTATAATATTATAGTAAACATGATGACAACGTACATGTAATATTTGCGATGTATAATGTTAATAAAAATCCAACCTTTGCCATTTGGTCACTAAGCATTCCGGCTTGGGTATACAAAGGAAACTTATGTCAATTACAGTCCTCTGTAGTCAATTGCTGTAAACGGTTTATATATCGCATCGAATCACATCTAACATTAAAATACGGTAAGTAATTAAGTAATATGGTTATTTATTGAAATTATAATCTTATTAAATAAATCTTTTCAGAGATATGGATTTTATCAGTATCATGACGTATGATTTACACGGCAGCTGGGAGGACGTGACAGGACACAACAGTCCATTATATGCTCACTCTGGTGAAACAGGCAAACAACGTTATCTCAATATGGTAAGACTGACCTTAACACTGACCCATTTTTGTTTCCAAATACGTTATAAGATTGTTCTTTTAACTGATTTAGATTTAATTTTAAATTAACTATCACTACATTTCTAATTTTAGCCTGTTTATCTGTTTTTGGAAAATATATTGACGTATATAAAAGTTTCAGAAGCTTTCTTGTCACATTGTCACGTTGTTATCACACCCTTTTAATTATATCTAGCGAGATTTATAATCAAACGGGAATTCATTATATAAAAAAACAGAAGAGAAATTAATGTTTTTCAAAATATTCCTTTGTTATCTTTTTAGAAGAAACGATGATATTGCACATGCGCAACACACATTTCTCAATCGAAAATATGTAAACATATTTCTGTCAATTGTGATACTAGTAGTTTAGTGTAGTAATTTCAGGATGCAAACAAATCATCTACCAATTGCATGAATCCAATTTAATACATTTGTTTTACCTTTTTAAGATATATAACTATGTAAGGCATTAGTCTGCATCTTTTAATACTTTTCATATCCTTGAATACATATTAAATGCATTAATGACAACATTGTTTAGATAATTAATTAGTATACATTTCACGTTTTGTAAACCTTCTCTTTTTAAACATAATATTTTATTACAGGATTGGGCGTCAAATTACTGGGTACAAAGTGGTTGCCCAAAACATAAACTTGTTATAGGATTGGGTCTATACGGCAGATCATTCACACTTAGAGACCCGACAAAAAACGGCCTGATGGCAGCAGCTAAAGGCAAAGGAAAGGCTGGAAAATACACACGAGAAGGCGGATTCCTTGCTTACTACGAGGTAGGCGCTCTGATTTCAGATCTAAATTTTGATCAATAATTTGCTCACAAAACAAAAACTTTTATGTTCTTAAAGATATGTTAAAAATCTGGAAACAAAGTGATTCCTCGGAAGCATTAATCACAATAAAATTACACGAGAATTGCAGACTCGGTTTGATTGAGTCTGTACATGAGGGATAATGAATATGTGCAACATCCCTCACGCCCCCTAGCACCGGCTTGAGCGGTACTCAATTCTCAACACTTAATAGTGCTGGCATCAATGATCCCGAAGGACCAGAGAAATATAACAACACTGAAGTGAAGTACGGGGCAACTGTAAACCCTGCTCAATATTTTGGTCTGTGACCTTTAAAAAACATCTTTAACAAGGAAAAATGTACATTGCTGTCAGAATATATACAAATGTATGTGACATGTTGTTGAACGTTCACTTACTGTTCACAGATATATGACATGATGACAGTATACTTGTTATTTACAGAATGATATGTAACACAATGAAAATATTATTAAGAGGTTTGTGACAAAGTGAAAGAAAACTTATAATAATTATACATTTATGTGCCATGATGAAAATATTATTTACAGATATTTGACAGAATGAAAGTATCATTTAAAATTTTACAATCGGACATGATCAAGTATCATTTACAGATATGTGCCATGATCAAAGTAGTATTTGCATAGATGTGACATGATGAAAGTATCATTGATATTTACAGATATTTGACATGATGAAAATATTATATATAGATATGTGACATGACGACAGTATTATTTACAGATACATGTATGTAACATACTGAGAGTATTATTAATAGATATGCAACATAATGAAAGTATCTTATTATTTACAGATATGTGATATGATAAATAAAGGTGCACAGTCACATTACATAAAAGAACAAGAAGCCCCATATGCGGTACAGAACGATCTGTGGGTTGGATACGATGATGTTGACAGTCTTAGAATAAAAGTAAGTAGAGACATGTCAATCTTAATTATGCATTATAATTTACTTAGGCTAAATTTTCATGCAAAATTTGTCACTCTGTGAATAAACTGGAAAGAATGCTTTTGCATGTTGGCCATACATACGGAAATATGTGTCAGGTATAATTCCCAGTTGCATATGACCTTATCAGTCAGTCAAGCTGGCCCAAAAGATATAATCTTTAATTTTGGCAGCAACACATTATTTTTATCCATGACACTTATAATGGTCTCAAAAAATAATACTGATTCAAAATTTATAGGTCACTTTTTGACATGAATGTTGACATGTCCGGGGTTCCTACTCGCAGTGCCTGAAAGGGCGGATGGGTGGCGGATCATAAACAATAGAATACACACACAGAAACATGTTAATCAGTCAACTTAACGTAACCTCATTACAAAGAAAGAAATTTATTTGACATGTTTCAATTTTAATCACAAATTGTCTTAATACCAAATTATTTACTACATTGATCGTCAAACAACAACATAAAATTAAAAAAAAAACATAACCCATCAAACAAACATTTTATTTGAACAAAACATTTTATTAGAACGACATTGGTGGAAATTAGCGTGACACGCAACATTAACGTCACAACAAGAAAACACGCGCAAAAAAGCAAGGAAAAGCCCGAATCAAATAAGGAAATTTGCTGAAAAATGTGTTTCTATAAATTATTACAAAGAATATAAATCTAATTTTGATATTGACTTTAGACTTCCCACAGATCAATCAAGTAAAAAAGTCCTTGTAAAAGTGAAAGGTTACCATAATGTTTAAATGACAAATCGAGAGTTTTCTGACATTTGACGCTATATACGTCTTCAAATAAATATTGAGAATTAAAATCACCAAGCTGCGAATATGAATGATGTAAAACCTTGTTACAAATTTGCTTTTAATGTACGTTTTTCCGGTGACAGATTATTTTCCTTGTTTGATTCGGTAACCTCTTTACATCAATAACCAATTGCTTTACAGACATAACCACAAATAGAATATAACGCTATAAAAACCCATTTTATATGTATTTCAAAATTAATATTATTTTTGTACCGGTTAACTGACAGTTTGTGTTAATTGCCTATTTATAGATGTTTTGTAAATATATTTAAATTTATAAGTTAGAACTATTAAATACACGTTAAATACATTTAAGGTATGTGTGTCACATGCTTTGTATTTCAAAACGTTTGGAACGACACATTTCCTGTTGGCAATGTTTTTTTTCTTCTGGTTGATATTCTTCTCGGGGTACACATCCATGCTTTGGCTAAGGCAACAGGGGGATCAGCGGCAGTCATGTTATGTAATCCACGAACTATTGCATGGAAATAATTTCTCGTACAAGTTTTTACCTCAGGCTATCACGGGCGATCCGTCTATTCAAAACCGGTGAAACTTATTATTCAATCAGTACTAATTGCCTAACCTATATGTTTCATCAAATAGACTTATTGGATTTCTGTTGCGTATTTAGTGAAGTCACAATGCTTGAAGATTTTATCATCCAAAATCAACTTCTTCCTCTTTCGGTTATTAGGTCCAGTGGATGAAGAAGAACGGATTTTCAGGAATAATGGTTTGGGCACTGGATCTTGATGACTTCAAAGGGACAACCTGTGGACAAGGACAATATCCGCTGATGAATGCAATCAACCAGGAACTAATGGGTACAAGTGTTGTACCTCCAAAAACCAGACCGTAAGTACGATAAGATATTACTTTGTCCTTCCCCATACAAAGAACACATACAACATACAGTAACCATTCAAAAAATGATAATTATTATAGTAAAACTCAAAATGATCAACGTTTTAATCAGTTTCTTAAATATATTCTTAAATTCTTCAACATAAGAAGAAATTAGAGCTGCGGTTTGTTATTGCTTGGATATAACCTGACGATTTGGAGTTATGTAACGAAGTAGTTAACAAAAATCGCGTTAAATAATTCACGTACAATGTAAAAGAAGCTTTGAATCATGAACACAAACACTTGAGATAATGCAATATGCTCTTCATACTGATATTTATATATATGTGTGACGGAATCAAAAGGTCTAATAGTACTTTTTCTACTAATAATTGTAGTAACAGGGTGCAACCAGATTTGTCTCAAATGCAAACAAACGAAAACCATAACAATAACTGGAACAATAATGAGCAGAATGCCTGGGAACAGCATCATCAAAATTATCATCACCAGCCGACTAACAACTGGAATCAGGCTTCCGTCAACACCAATGTAATGACGTCACCTCCAACAACACCCCCAGCAAGTAGGTGTCGCTTTGTTTTTTGTTTTTTTAAATAATTGACACTTTCTTTCTCTCAATTGACGTAAACACGTATAATTATTATTTGCTGCAACAGACAGACAACATAGCAAGCGCAGATTCTTTTCAGTCACTTGATATCACAACAAATGCTAAGGCCATTTGCTACCCAATTTCAACCATTTCTTTTTGTGAAAATGTTCATCAATCCATCGAGCAATAAACGAACATAATCCGCATCATTGAGAATAAGATGTAAAATACCCTCACTCAGCTTATGTTCAGGCAAAAGCAAATTCCACTACAGTGAGGCAATAAATAGTACTGCACGCACTTCGTGAATATTTCTGCCGTGCCTTCACTGCTCCTGTGTTGACCCACACTACTTTAAAACTATATGATTATAGATTTTTTGTATTTTATTTGTGTTGTAATTTAAAGATATTGGTTTTAAAGGATCAACATTATTGCAAATGATGTTCGATATAAATACCCTTAATAGACCTAGTTGGTGTTTGTAACAAAGCATTTCCCCCCTGAATTTCATGGAAAATGCATTTGTTAGCAATCGTCCCTACATACCAGATGGTTTGATTTTGTGCATTGTCCCCAATTGTTAAATAAAGTTGGCGTTCGTGTCCGGGTGCTTATGATCGTTTACTTTTTGAAACCCATCAGTTAATGCATCTTGAGATATTTGATGTTAATATAGTACAGCATGGCAAAAGTACGAAGAACGCATTTAAAATATGTGCCTTTTTATTGCAGATTTACCTCATTTAACAAACGAGTTCAAGTGTCCACCAAATGAGAATACCTACTTCCCAAGTCCAACGTCATGCGAGGACTACTTCATCTGTGCCAGCGGGTTATCATTCAAGTTTACCTGCTCACCGCCACTAAAATGGAACGCTGTAAACAACTTCTGTGACTGGCCGGAAAATGTTCAATGTAATAAGAAACCAGTTAAAACTAGACCGGCGCCAGTTCCAACCAAACCAGCACCAATTCCAACGAAACCGATTCCTCCGGTTTTGACACCTTCCACAAGAAGGCCAGTACCAAGGAGACCACCTCCAGGAAGACGAATGCCAAAACGTCCGACACGTCAGACAACGCTACCTCCAACCGTACCAACCACACAAGGTAGTTTTACACAACCAACACCACCATGGGTAGACTGGTCAGCATGGATAGCAGAATTTTGGAAAGCTTTAACATCGATGACAGGTGGACAGAGCGACTGGATGAGTAAGTTATCGTTAACATTCAATAAAAAGTTTTATGTTTGTTTTAAAAGTTTTCGTTCAGTCTGTACAAATATTTCTCAGGTCCGTTTACAAGGTGCCTTTACAAACTTATATACTAAATCATCATGATTATTCTTCAGTGTTCAATCTAAATTATTAAAAATAAGCAATTATGAGAGTAACTGTACAAGTATTATTGTCTCCTTTTTTGCAGAACAAACCTTGCAATCTGCAGCAAACCAGGCAACATCTCAAATGATGGGTCCAGGTGGAGCGCTTATTGGTCCTGATGTTCCAGCAATAGGCCCTAATGTTCCACCAGGTGCTATTGTCCCACCGGTAATGGGTCCCGGAGCAGCACCAGTGATTGCACCTGTTCCTAAAAAGTTTTGTGACGGTAAAAATGATGGAATACACCCAGACCCAACCGATTGCAGTAAATATGTAGATTGTGTACAAGGAAGAGACTATCAAGGGTCCTGCCCTTCAGGCACATCATTTGACGCTACAAATGGAGTTTGTGATTATACTCATAAAATTAGCAGATGTGCAACTCAACCTGCGCCAGCATGGTAGTGACTGACTTTTATTTATGAATGGTAAACTTAATACTTAACGCGGAGACCATATGTCCCTGTTTCACTGTTTACCTTTTATAGGCTAGACACAATATTTTGAAATAACATTGTTTCAATTCAGTACACCACATATACTCGGCGGTAAGCCCTGATAAATGAGCTTACGGCCAAACCAGTCACACATGTGCCTATTAAACCAAACGTATCAAGAAAGACATTAAGGAAAAAGTTCCTTTTGATTAAATACAGATATAAATATTTGAACAAATTAAGCGTAACAAGACCATGATAAGCCGTTGAAATATCTTTCGTTATCTTAGCTTTAAGTTTATCAGATGCATTTGCTTTTGTAGTTCAGTAGATTTAAAAGCGAAGCTTATTCTGTGTCCTTTGATCATCAACCCACATTGTTTTGTATGACTGGCTTGCTAACATCATGTTTAACATATTGGTCTGTATATAACGCCCTCGTTGCTTGAGATCCTCATGTCGCCACCTGGAGACATTGTTGTTTAGATGCAAAATGTATTTTTTTGTAATTTATTTTCCGACTTGAAATATGTTTCTATCATTGTTGACCTGCTTTTGTTATCTGTTGGCGAATTATAAATGATTTTTTTTAATTACAAGAGAGAAATATATTTCTTGGGTCCTCATCATTCCTGTGTTGTTGTCATGTTTTAAACCCATCAAAAGTTCATAATCGGGTTTCAAAATTAATGTTCGACAATTCCTCGAAATATTGACGTCAAAATAGTACATATAACAACCTAAGTACTGAACTTAATATTTATTTATTTCATATGTAAATCTCCATGATGTATATATCATACATTTAAAATAATGCATGGAATATGTATGCAGCAACTCAATAATAACTTATAAGCATTAAAAAGTGACTTTAATAGACTTTGTTGCTACTTTTTAATTTTGTTTAAATCAATCAAAAGTAGTACATTTACACGAACAATCTAACCATATTGTCTTCTTATGCATCTTTCGTCATTGGTCATTTTCTTAACCCCATGTGATAGCTTCAAATTACTTAAGAGTTTATGATAATCTTCCAGAAAAATCACAACATAATTGTCGACATGTACATTTTATTATTTTCCGGTTTATATTATCTCAAATGCGTCTTATCTTATAATTCGTAATTTATGATAAGCAATATAAGGATAATTTAAATGTCAACAGACATTTTAACTTATTGTCCGGTTTTATACTCAATGACGTCCTTATCTTATAGATATCGCAATAATTAGAACAGTATAAGGATATTTTGAAATTCAACAGCTGATGGATAGCCTTTTCTTTTATCTCGCATTCCGCCCAATGTTGAGTATTGCAAAATTTAGCCCATATACATGTAAATCTTACTTATCTGAAGAACAATATCCATTCATGAGCTCATCTGACTTGAAGAATACGTAAAGTATTTCGTAATACAAAACTTGCAAATTGAAAACAAATTGAATGTACAATTTAAAGGAAACCAAAAATTTCTTCCAATGCACCAAAATGTGATCATGACATTAAAAATCGTCATCATAATACGAGATATATTTGTCGTATTAACCAGGTGTTATTAATCACGAAGTAGACTAAATATATCCCCTTTTGCCTCACCTTATTATAAAAATAGCACGTTGTCTTTATATATATATGTGTATGCATGTACTCTGCTAACGCACTTTCGAAAGCTTTGTAACCTTTGTTTTGTTGGATTCCAAGTCACACTTACACTGTAAAGATCATTTAGCGACTTTCCCAACTCTACAGGTAGATAGAGACCTTAGGTGCCCCTTCTGGCAGTATTTAAGAAACAAGCAGGCATTTGAGTAGAGCCACCGATATTTCGTTAGCAAGCTGGACGCCTTCCTCAAATAACAAACAAATCTAAGTCCATGACGCGATACCAACCAACGGCGATGACGGACAAGCGATTTTTAACCGGCAACCTAAAACACTCGAATAATATAAAGGGCAACGAAGATCATATTTTGTTTACTCTTGTTAAGTTTTATAGTACATTTCAATTACATATAGAATAGAATGAGTCCTTTTTAGTACTGGTATGGATAACCAGCCTCCTCCATGGTTTTCTTGATCCACTCAGTGTACATGGTTACGTCCTCGAATATTCCTGGTTCGTCAGCTGTAGTACAGTTACCACCCGAGGAAGCGATTCCTGAAATGGATTGCAGAATGCAGTTAATAACATATGGATCTTACACAGGCTGTCGGTACAGATCGAATATCTAGCTCGAGAGTAAATGTTTACTGCGGTAACGAGAGCTTGATATTCCAGTCTGTTATGGCAGTCAGTGTTTGACTTTTACAGCACGCACCTTGTCTTACACGGTGAATGTAAGACAGGGGATGTAATACAGGTATTTCTAGCACCGGTGAAAATAGCAGATAATCCTGTCATATAAACAAGAACATTCCTTAATGCATCAGGTCGAATATCAAAGCTGCTAAAGACAAGTGTTTATGCAAATTAACAGCATGCATGGTAGTTTAGCACGGAGGAAGGTAGTCTTGTACTGGTGTAACTCTCCAGGAACGATGGTTAGGAAACTACCCGCCTGTATGACTGAAATACTTTTAGGAAAAGGAGTAAAATGAAACAAACAATCAAACATATATACATGTATAGATACTTCTTAAAAGCATTCCCCACCATTACATTGCTTCACATGTACATTTATGATAATGTTTAAAATGGCAAGTCCATGTTGACGCTAATTATACTCTCAAACTGATAACGTAGCAATTCTAAAGGCTACACTGTAAACTTAAATATGAGTTTACTATTATAACGATTTAAATGAAAAAAGAAAACAATAATAACAACAATAACAACAAAAGAAAATAAAAAAGAAACAAACCAACAAAAGAATCGGAAAATTGTTAACTTACCCATTGCATACCATGGACCATTTTGGCTCCTGCACATCAAAGGGCTTCCAATATCATCCTAATAGAAACAACAGACAATTAAAGTAAAATGCAACATTTGGTAAAGCATTCAATATAATAGAACTAAATACATCTTTTACTGTGTAAGAACCACATGTTCATCGCTTATTTCGAGAAAAATGGATCTTACATTAACCAAAGGGAATTTCCTTTGATGACTGGAAGCAAATAGTTGTACCAATAGAGAAAAACAGAGTTCCTAAAGAACGTTCCAAAACGATAAAATTGTACATTTGCAGGCTCGGTTTGATTGAGCCTGTTCATGGGACGAAACTGGAAAGTGCAAGTTACCGTCTACGCCACCTAGTGCTGGCCTAAGCAGAATTCAACATTCAACAAAGAGGGCTGTGTTCAGAAACGTTGTGATGTCATTTAGATCACCTTTAATTTATCACTACCAAAATGACGTCAACTGGCAATACCTAGAGATTTAGACACTAGACATTTCAGAAAAAATAGACGTATGATATATATGTTTATGAGTACAGTTTATTGTAAGGCGTGTAATTCAACCATCATAAGAAGCTCATTTCATTTCCAGGTTACGTTCTGTGCCTTTATAAGCAAAATTGAAAAGAAACGTACATTCAGTATATTCAATTTGTATTTGAAAAGAGTTAAATATTTACCCCACAGAAGTCTTTTTTCTGGTTTTCGTATCCAGCACAAATCTCCGTGTTAGGTAGGAAATCATCCCAATGATTTGCGCAAATGCTGTCGTCCAAAATAGGGTACTTGAGCTGGTTCAAAGTTTCTTCATTTCCGGTTGCTTAAAAAAGAAAATTATACAGAGTTATGCCTTTAAAATTTACATTTCAACCGTTTGTTTTGAATTAAAAGTTTAAAGTTACAGCTAATTTGATACCCATTAGTGCGTGCTTATCACAGCCAACAAACACTTTTTTTAAAATTTATTTATAAAGATTTTAACTATTATTATTATTATTAATTATTATTTTTATTATTATTATTATTATTAATCGTATACTTTCGGTGCTTCCCCAGCCTGGAAGGTAGCACTGGTCTCCTACAGCATACGTGTGAGAATAGTCGGCTATACATGCTGGACGAGTATGATCATTCCACCTGTTAAGTTTATAATTATGTTATTAGCAAACAGTCTTTACTTGATTTTAGCAAAATGAGCTTCCATAGTTTGTTCTATGCTGTATGTTAACTGGTTAATGGAACTGAGTCAATCTAATATTTGTTTTGGTTTGAATGTGTCACTAGGATATTTCAAATCAGATTATCAAGGTATGTTCTGGCGGTAAAGAGGCACCTAGGTAAGCTTTTACTATAACCTTTATCATTTCGAGTTAACTTATTCAGTTAGAAGAAAAAAAACATTTCAAAATGCAAACAGTTATCTTAAGCTAATACATATTTTACGACCATCTTGTTACATAGAAATTCTATTATTTAAAAGGTTATACATTCTAATGCTTTATGCAATATTTGATTATCAAGCTATATATATAAATTGTCTCTAAAGCCTACAGACACATATATCTCGTAATGAAAAACTGATACGATGACTTTTCTTTTTAAAATTAATTATATAAATTAATCTTTATTATCCCATTATTTTTTATATTAATCAGGACTGTAATTGTAATGAAGTACATGTAACTACATTAATAAGGACTGTAATTGTAATGAGGTAACTACATTAATCAGGACTGTCATTGTAATGAGGTAACTACATTTATCAGGACTGTAATAGTAATAAGGTAACTACATTAATCAGGACTGTAATTGTTATGAAGTAAATACATTTATTCAGGACTGTAATTGTAATGAGGTAACTACATTAATCAACACTGTAATTGTAATGGGGTAAGTACATTAATCAGGACTGTCATTGTAATGAGGTAATTACATTAATCAGGACTGTAATTACAATGAGGTAATTACATTAATCAGTACTGTAATTGTAATGAGGTAACTACATTAATCAGGACTGTAATTGAAATTGTAGTGAGGTAACTACATACATGATAGGTTCAACAGTGATGATAAGGGCAATGTCGTTTTCGAGACTGGTCGTATTATATCCTGGATGGAGAACGACACGTCTAATGTGGTATGACTTCTCATGAGGATCATTTACGTTGATGTTGTATTCCCCGGCCCACACACGCCACAGATGTAGGTTCAAGTCGAACACACTGTATCCAACACTGTGGAGAGAAACTATTACGTATGATTATGATATTTGGTTATGATATTGGACTACGATATATGACTATGCTATATAATTATGCTACATAAATTATTATGTATGGTTATGATATATGATTATGATAAATATGATTATGACAATATGATATGTGATTGTCAAATATGATTATGACAATACGACTATGATATATATCATATATGACAATGATATATGACAATATGACAACAAGTTTTTTCCAAATTTGCTGTAGTGAAAATATATTTATAGTTAAGACATGTTCGGCATAAGGCAATTCCTTTGGGAAAGTTGTATATTACTTTGACGTTAATAGTGCGCCAGGCTTTCGGACCAAAGGTGTAGATCCAAATTGTCAGAACTAGCACATGAGCCATATCGCATGGCGATATTCGATGAATTCAATTTCACAATACTAATTTGGCATGCTGTTATTGATACGAAAGAGAGTATTTAAATCGACTTAATTTAAAGAGCTTTTAATCCTAAGATCTGTGTTTGATGCGTATTTACATCATGTTAACAATATTAACACTTCAACAATTATATTTGCTTAAATTTGTATACAGTTATATAAGCTAAATACAAACTGTACCCTTCAAAGTGCTGTGCAGAGGTGAGAATGACATTTGAGTCAATGATAACACCCGATCCGGAAATGAATCCTAAACTGTCTGCAATCAATGTCTGAAAGTATAAACAAGAGAACCCATAAGTAAAAAAGGGGCTGTTTGTGTGGAACAAGAAAGGCGTCCATTAGCGTAAACAGTTGCTTTTTAGAAGAAAGGATGCCCATTAACGTTAACAGTTGCTTTTTAGAAGAAAATGTGCCCATTAACGTTAACAGTTGCTTTTTAGAAGAAAATGTGCCCATTAACGTTAACAGTTGCTCCTTAGAAGAAAAGGTGCACATTAACGTTAACAGTTGCTTTTTAGAAGAAAAGGTGCCCATTAACGTAATCAGTTGCTTCTTAGAAGAAAAGGTGCCGATTAACGTTAACAGTTGCTCCTTAGAAAAATTTGTTGTGAACATTTGCTCCCTAGGCGCCCTTTGGCATAAGAAAGACACCAATTTGCACAAAAAAGCATTAGAAAAAAAACGCTTTTTAGCAAATGACTGTTGCACACACTTAATATATAGTTCCACGAACAGTTAAAAATATGTGTAAAATGAATGTTTATATCGAGAAGTAAACTATAAGTTAACTTTAACTAAATTTACAATATCTGCAATTGACCTATACTATTATGAGTCCAAACATTTTAATCTTTAAACATGAATTATTTGAAATATGTTCTGGTTAAGCTGTAAGATATAAATATCTTACGTGTGCAGTATAGAAAGTTAATGTTATGCAAGCACCATTATACGAAAGTACATGTATTAGTAAAACAAAGTTGTTTCTTTTAAATACGTGTGTCTTCTACATAGAAATAAAATTGCAATCATTGGTATATGTACAATAACAAGAGCTATATCGGTTCGTGATAAGGACCTAACTAGCTAAATTGACTGTCACAGTTTGCATTAATGATAAGAAATCATGTTCTACTAAATATACTGTAATACATACCACCCAGGGCCAGGAGCCAGGCACGGCAACTGTGCCTCCAACAATACGGCTCATTTGTGGTTGTACAGTTGGCACACCGCATTGCACATTCACTGAAATAACGTACAATATCAACTAAGTTATTTCTTACATTAAGATAATCATTTCTGTTTTCTACCTAACTTCTGTACACTTATTAGTGCACAGATTTCGTTATTTTGAAACAATACATATTTGATGTTAAGTGCTCAGCTAACATTAAAGGCCAATTTTGCCTCAGAAATGCTATCATTTTTATTTCTCAAAAATTCAAATTTTTTTTCTCGGTATCTTGTTAAGATGCCAAAACAATACATATTTTGCTATATACATGTAAATTTACTGTCTTTGCTCTTTTAGCTCTTTTGGCAATGGATTATAGTGGGTTAGTATTTTGTATGGAAGTCCAAATACATGTACTACAATGTACTTTATTTACATTTTGCTACCTTTACGACACATTTCTGCACATTCAGAGCTATGTTTGTTTTTCAGTTGATAAGCATCTAAAATGTTTTTAATCCACTATTTAATCATTATTATACACATGTTTGAAAGTCCTAATGAAATAAAAAAATGGATTTCTGAATCATAATTTGCCTTTACTTCCACATAGAAATCGTCCAATATAACTTGACGTCTTAAGTTAAATCCAGTTTAACATTTACAAATGCCTAGTCTAGCAATATTTATAATCACATATATTTTTGGTGTTATTTTGGACAGGAGAAAATAACAAGAACTGTTTTTGTTTTTTTTTGTTTTTTTTTTGGCTTAGTGAACTTTACCTGTTTTTGAAACAATGAAACGACTGAGCACTGACAAAGAACATAATAACGCTGCATAACCAAACACGTCTGAACATTATATTTATAATATACTTATAAATAAAATATTTTTAAAAAAACGGCGTGCTTTCATTTTCCGTATTTTCACTTTAAAAGTAAATTTTTCACTGCAGTGAAACATAGTTTCCGTATTTTCACTGGTGTCTTGCATGACTTCTTTAACATAAATTAAGCCAATTCACAAAAATTAAAGTAGAAGTGTGGTGAAAGAAAATTATCACATTACACTGGTGACTCCTGCAACTCCTGAAATATTTATTTTCATAACACTGGATGATTATAAATACTGTATTTATAGATAAACTTGAATATCTTCAATATACAAATGAGCCGCGTCATGACAAAACCAACATAATGGGTTTGTGACCAGCATGGATCCAGACCAGCCTGCGCATCCGTGCAGTCTGATCAGGATCCATGCTGTTCACTTACAGACCGTATAACAAGTAGAGAAACTGATAGCGAACAGCATGGATCCTGATCAGACTGCGCGGATGCGCAGGCTGGTCTGGATCCATGCTGGTCGCAAACCCATTATGTTGGTTTTGTCGTGACACGGCTCAAATGTATTATCAATATTGTAAATATATGATACATGTATATAAGAATACATACTTTGCTGAGCTTGCGCAGCAGCGACAAGACATAGGATTATTACTGCCTTCATATTTCTGAAAATGACAACATAAAACATGAATTATAACAGTGAAGAAACAATATTACTCTTCTACTGTACAACAACATTTTCCGGCACCAACACTTTAATATATAAACTTATCTTTACTTATATAACATGTGGAGGGATCAAATTGTATATTATAGATATGTAAGACAAAAAGCAGCAATATTGATAGAAGCAACATCAGCATCAAAATAACAGCAGGAGCAGGAGCAGCAGCAGCAGCAACAACAACAACGACAACAACAACAACAACAACAACAAAAAACAAAAACAAAAAATGATAACAGCAATTACTATATAGAAATGACTATGTGTAATTAAAAAAAGGTTATTTTTCATGTATCAAAATTAACAAAACAATGTAACTGAATTTACACACGACAGACTTCCCTAAAAGATATAAAAAAAACTGAAATACCATGCCAACGTGTGAATAATTTCGCAAACCTCACCTTATCCCGTGTATAAATGCTCTGTATAACCTCTATCTACTAAATGAATGATTGTATAAAATATGTAAAGATAAGAAACTATATTACAACATGTTACACTCGTGATTTCAAAATGGCCTTTCATTATTTAACATCCAACATGAATCGCATACAAAGTTTGGATACATATCTGATGCTAAAATCATTGGCAAATTCCCCAATCAAAAGTCATGCAGTATCAATATGGTAACTGCTGTAGATTCAATTAGATTTCTTTTGGCCTTGTCTGTTTAAGCAGAAATAGTTTTTTGAACATTCTCAATAACAGCAACAGATATGGCAGCATTTTGAATTAATGTTTAACTAATTGAAAGAATAAATGTGCAGTAAGAACCAAAAGCACTGTATGATTTAATAAGTTTCATAACTATGTGCATTTGAATTTTCGTCACACTTTTACTGTCAAGAGAATGATAATGACACGTTTGATGGATTGTTGCAGTTCTGGCGGGAATTCTAGGGTACTGGTAAAACTTCAACTATAGCCAGGCTAGATGGGTAGAACTCTCCTACCTCGAATACAAAGTCCTTGGTGAATTCCCCCCCCCCAGTAAACCTAGAAAGTCGAGATATGATCTTTACCATGCTGATGCGACGTAAAAAATAATTATTATTTATATTTAAAACTAAATAAATTAGCATGTGGTAACAAGCATGTCTGGACTCAACTCTTTGCAGTTTCCACTGAGCATTGAGTAAAACATAATCTGCGATTTTTTTACAGTTTTACTACATGCTTTCGTCAGGAATTCTGAGGTCGTTTTCTGGGCTTAACTATGCAGTTAATACGTATACTTACTTATCAGTGACATAGTGTCTACCTCAAAGGTCAATGACACATTTGGTTTGTGATAACGATTAGATATAAAGAATCCGGCTTTCTTTCTATTGCACGAACTTCAAGGGATAAGGTTGGTTCTTGTTTCATATTTATCTATTTTTAAAAGCTTCATGACAATCCGTCATTTATTATACAAGACAGAAATAAAAGAAAAAATTGACACTGCTAAACATTTTAATGATGATATAAGTAAACGGGAATTCCATTTATAACATAAAAATTCTTCTTTAAATACTAGTCGGTATGTTTGTAAAGAAAGGTCCAAGGTCAGAACATACGTCCGCTCTAGCCGGCTGATTTTTTGCCATGCCGTGCTTTCACTTCGCAGTGCTTCAGGAAAAAAAACAGAACATGCGTTAAAATGACCACTGCTCTGCGCTCTGCCAGGCAAAACATGGAAATACGTTAAATTGGTCACACTGTCGTATTTTCGTGTGACGCCCTGCAAAGTGAAAATACGAAGTGGCATAAATCAGCCACCATGAACAATATTGTTTTGTAATTCTAGAGCATAAAAAGAAAATCATGATCAAAACAATTCTAGTGTGTCTGGTAGCCACAGTGATAGGACAACCAATTAGTAAGTACTTCTTTGTCTTTAGCTTGGTAAAGCTTAAAATCGAATATTAAGTCACACATACAATACGAATGTTTACTGGCAAATAACCACATAATGTGTTTTATGTACATAACAACTTGCAACAAAGTGCAATCACTTATCTTCCGTAGACTAGTTATCGTCTTTCCCACATACAAAAGCCTGAAGTCTCAAGATAGTCACCACAGTGGCATAGGAATAGAAATGATCCGAAATCAGCAATCCAAACTGATCTGCACGATAAACAATATTTATATTACTTAGGAAGTACTGACTGTGCACAAATTTGAAGCACCATGTGTTTTAAATGTGACAACGACTACATGAGAGAATTTGCAAATTCAAATTTGCATTCGCTTAATAAACTGTGTTATATACGAAAGTTGTTGAAAAGTAATATAACTTCTCATACGGCTTTTCTCAATCCTTAATACAGCTTATTGGTATAAGCTAGTTTCCGAAAAAGAAAAGAAACATATTTTATTGTCCGAAAAACAAAACCCATTGAGCTAAAAGGAATGCAGGATATTTCGGATATTAAATTATAATTCATAATTTTATAAGTTACATATTTATATTTATATTAATTTTGCGAATTAATTATAAGATTCAGTGTCTTACTTAATGAAATAAAAAAACAGCATCAAAGTGCCGCATGTTCGAAAAGGTGAAAAGGTGTACAAGTTCACAATAATTGCACTGTCAAAGGAGATGCCTCTTTTTACAGATCCAGTTAATGTACCATGTGGTGTACCAACAGTTCAACCTATAACAACAAGGATAGTAGGTGGTGTTATTGCAAAGCCCGGATCCTGGCCCTGGACTGTATGAACATGATTTATTATAATTATTTTTAGTTGTATTACTTACTCATTGTTTAACTTTTTATAGGATTCAAATAACTAAAATAATTAGTAAAAGAAATATAACCATTTCGTGGAAAAAAAATATTACTAAAGTAATTGTTTTTCTAAATAAAAAAAGTAAAGGTGTGGAATGATATAGTTATAGTGTGGCGTCGGACTAGTAATCTAAGGATTGCTGGTCGCGTGGGTTTAAACCCAAATCAGCGACAAGCCGTTGTTTCCTTGAGCAAGAAACTTTACACTCATTTCTAAAACCTGATTAGTTAGTTCCAGGAACGAATTCGAGAGTGTTTCAATAAGTTAAAATCTTCCAACACAATCGAACTAAAATACATTCGTATAAACTAAATGAGTTATAAAAATCGACAACTTCTCATATTTTAACTGAACATATTTAAGCATTCCGAATAAGATATAATACATTTATATTCTAACTAACAACAGAAACTTCACAATTCTCTCTGAACATTTATTGTTAGAGTTGGATTTGAACACATATTTTACTAGTAAACTTTTACAAATTCTGATAAGAACGCAACAGATCATACTAAATGTATTTTTGATATATTGATAAAACTTATTTCATGATTCAAAGGTCTTGCTTGCTGATGCCATTGGTTTTATTTCGGGATCAGGGGCACTAATTCATCCACACGTCATTCTTACTTCCGCTCAGCACTTCGAAGGGTATATATCTTATCCTCGCCTTTTTATTTATAATAATAATAATAATAATAATAATAATAATAATAATAATAATAATAATAATGATAATAATGATGATAATGATGATGATGATGATTATGATGATAATGCGCAGAAAAATAGTTAAGTGATTTAAGAAAGCGCATGACCAATTTCAAAATACTCAAAATAATTCACTATTAACATTTATTTACTCAAAATGAAATGATGCACATCGTTTTTATGTTACTTTTTAATAGTTTTATTTATAATTATCATAATCAAAATGTAATTAATGTAATTAATATAATAATGATGTAATCAAATAAGCTGATCTACAGTTCCTCTTAAAATACTTACTTATACAATTACTCTGCTTTATAGCCCAGGATTCTCCATATTTGACCTTGACCTTCACTACTGGAGAGTTTACGCTGGAGAATACAACATCAGTACCAACGACCCTCACGAGAAATATTACCACATTAACAGAGTCGTCCTTCATCCCGGCTACAACATCTCCAGCCTCGAGAATGACATTGCTTTAATCATAACCAGGGAACCAATACAGTTAATATCACAATTTGCTTTTTCTTTTAAATTTGATTGTTCTACAATGGGCACATTTTTATTAGTTTTTGAAATATTGATAAAAACAATAGAAATGTATCATTAAGATTTTCTTATAAAACGCTGCCTTAAAAAAAATGTTGATAAAGTTCTAATTACTGATTTAGACTGACCATTTATCTGATGAATAATAATATTTTGTTCTATATATAGAACACTTTATTTATCTGATCAGATATCTTGTCTACACATACTCTTATTCGTGTACTCATATCTATACATGTTGTATTTGTCCACACATATTCTTGTCTATACATATCTCTCTACACATATACTGTTTCTCTACACATTTACTTATCTGTCTACACATATACTTATCTGTCTACAAATATTCTTATCCGTCTATACATGTAATTATTTGTCTACTGAATATTCTTATCTGTCTACAAATATGCTTATATATCTTTAATTACTATTACAAATGTACTTGTCTAGTCATACACATATCTGTCAACACATGTTCTTTTCTGTCTACACATATTCATATCTGTCTACATTTATTATTACATATCTACACATACATTAACGATTTATATTATTTAAGGTACAATGATCATACCCGACCTGCATGTCTTCCTGACGCCAGTCATACATACACTGTTGGAGAAATGTGTTATCTACCAGGCTGGGGAAGCACATCAAGTAAGTCTTTTACAATTAAATATTTGGGGAGCGTTGGCCTAGTGGTTAAGGTTTCTACCTCTCAACCCAGGGATCTTGGGTTCGAACCCTAATCGGGCTACGACCATGTTTCTTCATACGAAACCAGTACTGGTTGGTTACAGGAAGCGGACATGAAAGTGATAAATATAATTTGCGAGAACTCGTTTCGCAATCGAGCTTGGATAAATATGTTTGAACCAATCAATTATTTTCTTAAACCATTCTTTTCTATGCTAAACAAACATTATATTGAAAATTATTACTGTCTGACTTAATATCTATTGTCTATCAACTTAAATTTGAATAGTTCATATTGAATTTTCATGTCGGTGTTTCATGTGCGCTGGTTAATAAATGATAAACGGCATTCTTACGGCATTATTCCGAATTCTTTCTATATTTAGACACCGGAAATGAAGAAGTTATGAATCAAGTAGGTCTTCCAATAATTGATGATGCCACGTGTCAGAGTCACTGGACGGACTTCCTTCCGGCAACAGAACTTTGTGCTGGTTATGAGAATGGTGGAAAAGACTTCTGTTCAGTAATATATCTTATAAATACTCAAAGATAAAACGGACAATTCGGGCACAAAATTAAAACGGAAATATATGTAAAAATCGATATCAATTGCGAAATAAGCAAGATTTGAGTTAAAAGCGTATAACGCATTTATTTGTACGTCTTTTTTGCAAATAGATAAATGAAGGAATAAATAAATAACTGTATGAATGAATGAATGAATAAATAAATAAATAAATAAATAAATAAATAAATAAATAAATAAATAAACAATGGAGTACGCGAATGATCTTAAATTTTGCACACGAGTTATAAGTATAGACCTATATATAATAGTATATATCAAATCACGTAAAGATAATGTAAAAATATCTCATTTGGGTTACTTTAAAATAAAGATAAAATACCGTCAGTTCGAACTGCAAAGTAAAACATGATCATCAACGTTAAGGCCTAGTATGCCCCAGAGATGCGTTTATTCTTATTTCTCAAAAACTTAAATTTTTTTTTTTTTCATTCAAAGAAGTTACTCATTTGTTATTTATCTGAACCATCACCATCATTTGCTTCTGTTGCCATTTTGAAATAAGCACATTTATAATAGTTTAGTATTTTGTATGGAAGTCAAAGTACTGCCTTGTTCACGTTTTGTCGCTTTAATGAGAAATTAATTCACATTCAACGTTTTTTCTTCCTATAATAAGATTTAAAACAATGATTTTAAACATAATGAAACGAATCTTTGCCCTTTCTTAAGAAGGGAAAAATGTTCATTTATAAGGTATAGTGAGCCTTTAATAAAGAGATGTTGATTTTGTATGTTACAGGATGATATAGGAAGTCCACTGATGTGTAAGGATCAGAACGGTGCTTGGTACATTCAAGGTGAGATATAGAAAATTACGAAGAGTGTTTTCAAAACATTTATAAAACATTTATAAAACAATTATGTACGGGTTGAATAAAACACGTAAAATTGTCAAAAGCGTACACATAATGTAGATAATTCTAAAGATACTGTTCATAGTATTTAATTAGTTAATATTTTGGCGCTAAAATTTGTAAATGAGTTAATTTTAAGTGTGACATGGGGTATCTTATGAAAGCCACTTGTCCTTCGTTATTACATATTCTTCAAGCGGCCATCAGGTTTCTTCCCTTTTTACCAATTTACATATATACATGTATAAGAGAGCGGACCGGAAGATACGATGGATCAAGGGTTTCCTTTATTCATTTTATCGGTGGCAATTTTCATATTCCGTTGACAACTTCATGAAACGATTTGTCTAGAAATAACAAATTATAAAGCTTAATTACAAACAAAAATCGCTAAATATTTGAAAATTAGACATAATAAAAATAATAACATTGTATTGCATAACATATGTGTCTCATTTTCATAAAAGGTCTTGCATCATCCGGCGGGGACTGTAAAAAGGCTAATGAACCCGGAATCTTTGAAGATGTTTCCCAATATTCTGATTGGATAAAGAAAACAATGGAAGACGCTGGTTACCCATACCCCTACTAAATAACTTGACGGACACATTGAGTTACAAGAATCTATGCATATAATTGTATAACTTATAGACAAAAATAAATATTGATATTGGACTACATGTATATACAGTTGTTATTATATTAATTATATGGTACATGCATTTAAAATAGATGCATATTACTTATCGCGCATTTGAAGCACATAGAAGAGGCTGTCAGGAGCACATATAAGAGGCTGTCAGGATTGCCCTGTTCTCCTCTCAAAGCATAAAACCAGCCAGTCCGCATAGTTCAGTCAGTTAGATCGCAAGACTTGTAATCTCGACATTGTGGGTTCGATTTCGGGGCTGGCCAACTAAAATTTATTATCAGTCTTTCGGATGAGACTTTAAGGGGGCAGGGGACATATTTGTATGATGGCCCCGGTCAAATTTGTTAATAACTCAGACATGGTGTTTTGAAGGTACTGATAACTTCTGATATTTCTCTGTCATTGTAATTCTTTCTTGTTTGTGTGTAGGAAATGAGATATATTTTTGGGTTTTTACACGAAACTAAGCATTTTGGTAGCTTTGTATGTATTTCTGACTCTCCGAATGGAGGTGAAAAAGTTAAAAATCAAGCTTTGACAGTCGGCGCCAAACAAGTAAGAAATTTCAGATAAATTTTGTGAAAAATCTAAACGTATGACAGACACTTTATTTGTCATTTCTGAAAATGCTATAGCTTGCACTGCGTGTTACTGATATTTTTAAAGGAATCAGGCGGATTCTGGAGTATGCTGCACCTTCATGAAGATTGCCCATATTGGTATATTTTAGGTGTGATTTTGGCTGGGTGGGGGTAAATATAAATTGCTGTCAGTCATTTTTTGAAGGAGCAATGCATGCAAACTATTATTTTCTTCAATGTATGTCATATAGCATTGAATAATGCTGTGCAACTGGTTATCTGCCTGTGAAACAGATTTTGAAATATTTGGAATTGTGTTTCTGGTCACACTGAAATACAAAATTTTTCATTTTTAGGTCCCCTGCCCCCTTAAATCGACGTCCTGTGTAGGAGTGCTTAAACACTTGGCACCTTAGAGAACCAGGGGAAGCTTCTGGAATTGGGACCTCGTTCTGTATCTTTCTGTCTTTCTATATCTTGCACCATCCTCCGAAATATAAAATTAGTAATATACTCTTCTTGAGGTATCGCCCATATGGGCAACCGGTGGCGAGTATTAAAAAACACTCAAAAACTATGGAGGGCGTTCGTTGCCAAAATTCCAGACATGTAAAGTGTTCCTTTTTAAAATGACTTTTGAAAATGCGAACTTGTATGCCTACCATTTTTATTGTAAACCTCTTAATTCAATCTTTTAATTGAAGGTTACCGCCTTTATATAACAAGTTTACATATATATCGTAACAACTGACCTAACATCTAAAACGACAACAAATTTACAAGTTCGTATCTTCCATTGCATGCAATACATATGCATGTTTGCACACTTATAGATCTGAAATATACAAATGAAACGTAAAACTCGAATACGGAAAATAGAGTTTAAGAAAACGTGTTACCAGTTGTAGAACTACAAGAGTACGTTAACACAGTAACATGTTTAAAATGACAAAAGTAGATTCACAAAGTTAAACGATTTTAAGTCAAGCATAACGCCCCGCTCCTCTCGGAGTATTTACGAACTTCTATTGCGGACAGGTATAAAACGGCGCCTCTCCCATATTTTTAAATAAAACTGAAGGACAACATACGGCATTTTTCATACATTTGTTACAAAAGTTTTGTCAGTAGCAACATCACTTTAAAATTGCTGATTTTACCATTTATGATGAAGATAACTTATGCATTACCTTATTTTTAACATCGTGTTCTTATCAGTTACAAATTATTTATCATTTTAGTGATTAGCCTGTCCGTGCTCTGCCTAGTGCCCTGTCCTGTGTTTTGTTTTGGGTCCGCCTTGGCTTCTTGCCACTTGTTCTTGTTGCTGGGTCATGTGGGGTTGCGTTCATTGAGCGCCGCCTTTCCTTGTTGATCTTGTTTATCATATATTCCTGAGAAACATCGGCGATTGGGAAATTTTTAGGGGAAACAATGACCAACTTCAAGGGAGTAATTTTATTAATAATGTAAAAAACCACCCAATATTCTTATTGGTATCATTGAAAAATGTATTGGCACAAATTTCATTTTCAACAAAAACTATGCAAGTATATTTTAAAGCGGCCACCGAGATTTCCTTTCCGAAATCAAGAAAATACTTATCCGTAGCACATATGTACAATCTTTAATAAGGTATTTTCAGTATGAATAAAAACTTTTTGCACTTGTTCATTATCCCTCATGTACAGACTCAATCAAACCGAGTCTGCAATTCTTATGTAATTTTGTAGTGATTAATGCTTCCGAGGGATCACTTTGTTTCCAGAATTTTTTACTTGAGTCTAAAATTATCAACGCCGCCTTTCCTTGATGATCTTGTTTATCATATTCTAAAATTATCAAAATTGACCAAGAAATAAAAAAAGTAAGTAGGGGGCGCCATGTTTCTCTTACTGAATTTCAGAGTGTGTTTTGTTTTTTTTTACTTGGGGATCATATGCCGTTTTTCATGGTATGGCACTTACGTGTCACATTGAAGGTTCCATGATAATCACCATATTAACACATCTGCGGATGTTTCAAAATTCAAAATTGTACCAGTTCATGTTGAATTTTGCTTAAGCCGGTGCTAGGGGGCGTGGACGATAACTTGCTCTTTCCATTACCGTCCATGAGCAGGCTCAATCAAACCGGCCTGCAACATTCTCAATTTTGTCGTTTTCAGCGTTCTTTAGGTATTCTTATTTTCTCTATTTTACAGAAAGTAACATGATAAACTTTTTAACGAAAAGTTAATTCATTTTGATTTAATTCCTTTTTATTTTGAGGCACTATATAATTATATATCATAAATCGTATTAATCACACTTTTATTTCAATCCAAAATTATCAAAATATATTACGAAATAAAAAAAAAGTTTGGAGGGAACGCCGTGTTTTTCTTACCAATTCGAGAGTGTTATTTTCAGACTAAAAAAAAACAACAAAAAAATCAATACATCTATTTAATTCATTTTTATTTCCGAGGCACTCATAGAAAGCTTATGGAGTAATCTTTCATTTGATACAAATTATATTGGACTTTTTATAGAAATAAAAAAAAGTTAGAATGGACGCCGTGTTTTCCTTCACTTTATTGAGAAATAGGAGAGAGGCGACGGGTATTATACCTGTCCGTACATTTCCGTGATAGAAGATCGTAAGTACTCAGAGAGGGGCGGGGCGTCATGCATGACTTAAAATCGTTTAACTTTGTGAATCTACTTTTGTCATTTTAAACATGTAACTGTGTAAATGTACTGTTGTAGTTCTACGACTGGAAACACGTTTTATTAAATATATTTTCTGCATTCGAGTTTTACATTTCATTTGTGTTTTTCAGGTACATATATATATCTACAAGTGTGTAAACATGCTTATGTATTATATGCAATGGTAGATACGAACTTGTAAATGTGTGTTAGGTCAGTTGTTAAGATTTACATGTAAACTTGTTATTTAAAAGCGGGTGCCTTCAATTAAAAGATTGGATTAAGAGGCATATCATTTGCTGTGCACGAATGCATTAAAAAATGCTAGACATACATGTTCGCATTTTCAAAAGTAGTTTTCAAAAGGAACACATTACATGTCTGGAATTTTGGCAACGATCGCCCTCCATAAAAAACACACTAGTCACGTGGTCCTTCTCACGACTGATCTTGAAAAATTTGTCTTGTTTGGATTTGCGGTGCACTTACACATTTTAGGTCATATGTCGCTAATTTTGACTAACCTTGTTGTGTGTTACAAACTGTAAGCAACACCAGGGGTCAAAACCAACTCACTTGATGGGGCTTAGACATGCATAAACTCCATTAATCCTAACTCATTTAGTCGCATTTAACGATCACGCAGGAATAAACGGTGGCAGAACTTCTGATGCCTCAACCCTTAAAGGCAACCCCTAAGCCACAAGGCATATCTCGAAATGTAAACCCTTCTCTGGATATATTTGTAATGTGACTTCAAGCATAATGTCTTAGCGATCGTGCTAATTCATTTTTATACTATACTAGCTCAAAATATGTTATGAAATAGGTAAACGAGTCCAAAACAAGGATTAGTATCTAAATTTCTCTCCAGTCAACGTACAGTATATCTAGAGAAATAAAATTAACCTTTTTTGCGTAATATAAATACACCGAGCAAGTTTGTAAGTTTTAACACGATGTGGTCATATTCGCATTTTTCGCTATGACTTAATATCTTTTCATCATAATTATTAAATATACTTTTCAAATTGTAATGTCGCAATCAAATACGCAATAAATGACAGAGAGGGGTCCTGTTGCAGAATGCTGCCCAGGTGTTCAGATGGTTTATGCTTATTCAAAACTAAGGGACGAAACCTCAACACGAAATGAATTTTTAGAATATAAGAGTTATTCGAATAGAGATAAGAAACGGAAACAAAAGAAAATATACCAGTGTGTAAATCGGATTAAAGTGCTATGCTTGCAGATATAAAATAGTTTTCGCACACTTGAGTGACATACGCAAATAGTGAGGTCTGTGTTTATCCACAATTAAGTTTTTTTTTCAATTGGCTAGAGGTGAAATAATCAAAATAATTTTCACATAAGCATACCGACACAAATTTCGACAATGCTATATCACTCACGGTTTGAATGATACATGAAACTTAACTTTCAAAATATCTGTATGAAAGCAAATGATTGTTTATTTCTGTTAAAGCAAATGGAGCATGAACATTACCATTGCTTACAGCACCTCAATTTATTTTGTTCCGAAAAAATTATTCTATTAATGTACAAAAAAAAAAAAATAACTATGGTGGCTGATTTGTGCAATTCGTGTTTTTGCCCCGCCAAACGAAAAGTCGAAAATCAACAAGTTTAAATGGCGGGGGCGCGGAGCGAAAACACGCTAAATAGCGGGGTCGCTGGGCGAAGTTTAATAAATAAAAAAGTTTGCCGCGCGCTCCGACTAATTAGCGTGTTTTCGTTTAAAGACCCAGCCTTGCGGAAAATCGAAAATTAACAAGTTAAAATGGCGGGGGCACAGAGCGAAAACACGCTTATTAGCGAGGACGGGGAGCGAGATTTAAGAAATAAAACGGCAGGGTCGCGGGACGAAAACACGCTAATTAACTGGGGCGCGGGGTGGAGTTTAACGATTAAAACTTCGCCGCGCGAACCCTCTTATTAGCGTGTTTCGTCCCGCATCTCCGCCAAGCGAAGAGTCGATAATTTATCAGTTAAATGGCGGGGGTGCGGAGCGAAAACACGCTTATAAGCGGGAGCGCTAATTAGCGTGTTAAAGCTTAATATCTTTCCTAATTTATAAATACTGTAATCTGCATTTATTTCATTTACATTTATAATAAAATCATAAGACTGTTATATGAAAAAGTGCTTAAAACAGTGAATAAATTAAATTTTTATTCGATCATTTAAAGCAACAAGAAACAAACTAAAAAAAACTACATTGGCCTGATCCGTTAAACCGATCAATCAATATCGACTTTGTAGTACAATTATTTTTGTAGTATTATATTAACGAATGCACCGTACTGAAACCTGAACTTCTATCTTTCACAGTGTCAATATTCCATACTTCACAATCATCCGGCACTATAATTATAAATCGTACTGAATTATGACAACATGATCAGTTATTAAAGTGTCCGGTTCTGAGAAAGGATATTTGAATAGTAAGTAAGAAATTTAAATTTTGTTCATATTCTAATTCATACATTATATATTCTTATCTGAAACCATTTTTCCTCCCATACGCTATTTTTTTCTGTCATTTATTAAACACCTACCCGCTCACTCTAACTTTTAATGTGGCAGCGCATTAACTTACTACAAGTATTTGTTTATTGGTTGATAGATTTCATTACGAAATCAAGCTCTTTAGACCTAGACTTTCTTATTGTTGATTTTGATAAATGTACATGATAAAACAGTAATATGGCACGTATTTAATTTGGATTAAAATTATCAAAGTCAAATATCATATCTGTTCGTAAGAGGATCGTGGATATGTAAACAATATTTAAAAAAATAATTTAGTGCATTTTACATGTTCACTTATTCTGTAAATTAATTTCTTTGATGTTTCTGAACTAAGTATATCACCGTTATTAAGACATTTCTTTTTTGCTTTTTCAGAATATTTCTCACAAAAGCTTCGAGACAGCTGTAGAGACGATGGCGAAGGTTTTTGTAAGATATGGTCCATTTATGGTCAGATGACATATAACTATATACACAGACAAGCATCTGACCCCTCTTATAAGTAAGATTATATTTAATTTTTAAAAATACTCGTGTAAATGCTTTCAAAGGTTATCAAATAAGTATTTTTTCTGTAATTTAACATCTATTGTTATGTCGAGTTTTTAAGTGTCAAGCGCTTTTGAATTATACTAAAGTTTCCGTCAATTCTAAATTAGTGTTGTTACCTTTTTTGGTCCTTTTGGGTAATTTCTATACTAATGTATTTGAAAATTAAAAACTTTTTGATACGGCGCATGCGCAGAATGTATAAGTCTTACGTTCCTCACCGGTCTTACAAAATTCACGCCACACCGGTATAAGTGGTCGTGGGAGATGAGTCGCCGGTTATTGTCTTTCATTTTACGATCGTAATAAAACTGAGTATACATATTTTTCTTTTTTATGTTATAAGGAAAACCATGATATATTTTTCAGGAGAGTTGGAGTCTGCTGGGTTTGTGGTAGTTCCTGTGGAAATAAAGAGGAAAAATCATGTTGAAATTGCCATTGGAAAGAAGGTGGTGTGGTCATCCGAACTGACTTTGTTTCAAACATGTAATTTATCCTTTAAAATAAAATAGATAATGTTTGATTTCTTGTTTATATACGGTATTTTTTATAAAAAGATTGATATGTTATGAGATATTTAAGACTCTTTACAGAACAAATGTTTTTTAAACACCCAGTCAATTTTCATAGAGTACAAGACAGGTTCACTAGAAATAAGTTTTTGGAAGGCAAAATCCGTCTTTTTATGTTGTCGTCGCCTAGTGGTTGAGCAACATTCAAAACTTATCTCTTCAGTTGTTATTAATGCTATGTTATCATTGTTTTTGTTTAACGGGCAGAAATTCTTTGCCCAGCCATCAAAAGAGCCACTTAAAGAAATATTTTTTCTTTAGAGGGACAAATAAAAAGTCTGAATCTGATATTATAATAGTAGTATTTATACATGTATATTAACTTACAAAATTCACCCCCTTCCCATCAGTGCTGTCACTACTTTGATTTGTTTGTTTTTTGCAGATATTCCAATGAAGCGAAGTGATCCGGTTATAAAAGAAGCTGTGGCAGCTTGTACATCTGCAGTTGGAACTGTGAAGATATAAATTGACAGAAAAAATAACAACGCGGATACATATGTCTTTCCCGAAAGATATTGCTTAGGACTATACAGTAAAAGATCAGCCAAGTTTTGTGACAATGGTCCAACTCATATGCTGAGGACAATGAGGACAATTTTGTTAAACTATAGCAAAGACTGAAGTTACTGTTTGATAAAAAGGAGTAGGTGAATCAATGGCTCTGAAAATAAGAATTTTTAAATTAAAACCATAAAAACCCATGCATATTGACCACGGGACGCATGTATAATTAGTTTTCCATTACACATCTGTTTGTTTCAGATATTTATCTCTCTACATTTTACAAAAAAGAGAAATTATTTGATTTTTCATTTATCTTCATTAGTGTTGATTTTTCATGACGCAATTGTTAGAAATCTGGAATAACAAATGCTGATGATTTGTTTATCATACTAATTGAAGCCATGTAATGATTGATTAAAAAAGAGATAATAAATAACTAAAAATATAAAAATAGATAAAAAATGAAAAAAGAAAGAATAAAAATACAAAATAATTAAAAATGAAATGTAGCCTTTATGTTATGTATGATAGTCATTATTTTTTTGTGACGGTTCATGTATGGCAGTGTTCTCATGGAATGACTATAACAGATTGCCTGTGTTTGTTTGTTTAGACTTACGGCGCACCAACACAATTTAGGTCACATGGCGCCGAAAGGGGAGATATACTTTTGGCTAACCTAACCAATGGTTGTTACAAACTTAAAGCAACACCATAGGTCAAAACCACCTCACCTGTATTGTCATCGAACTAATAGTTTATTTAGTAAGGGACCACTCTGGAAAAGAGATCGTCCGTCCTATGTTAGAAAGTGTCGGCGGATCCATCTTACTGGCGGCTGAATCCCATGATTTTTTGCAGAAGACCAATATGAATATTGATACTCTTTAAATATTGAACTTTGTTTAAGCCGTCGCTTACGGACATAAATCGTTAATTGCATTCATCACTTTCGTCAATGAACATTCTCAATCAAACCGGGACTGCAACCTTTTCATTTTGTTTCCGTTGTCGTATATTGCGTTGTCCGTCATTCTGTAAGCCTCATGCATGCCACTTGCTCATTAAATTGATAACGTTTATCCCTAGGAAGGTTGTTCACGGCAAGTAGATGACCCCTTTTGATTTTGAATTAAAGATATTTTATTCGTCACATAAGAACATATTTATACACATGACATTAAAAATCAATACAAAAAAGCAAAAGACTGGAAGCAACCTAATGCTTATTGAAGTATTTTACCTATTGATTCTTACGCAATTGATTACAAAGGTCAAGGTTATAGTGGCACTTTGAGGTAGCGGTTAAGTATATAACAATAGATGTCCGAGGTAGATCTCAATTAGGTTAATTGCACACTGTAGTGAGCTGCATATTAAAATCGGCTATACAACGGGATTACATATACTTTATGCCCCTGGCAAGGCACCACACACACAAAAGCATACTCAAAGAGTCACTTGCCTTTCTTTAAAAAAACACGTTTAGAAAGAGCTTACAGCTTTATGTGTAGTTTATGCAATTAAGTAAATATATCAAACTCAAGGCCACAGTTCATATATTGCAGTTTCTATGAGCTTAACTGGTAGAATCATAGTTGTAGCTGCATTGATATATACTGGCAAATAATAATAAGGAAATAACAACTGACGGAAAAAAGATAAAACAACAATGTATGAAACATAACATAACTGTATTTTATTATATATAATGCATTTGCTATACAAATCTGAAAGTCAAAGACGTTTTTCAATGTTTGTCACATATTTTAAGACAACCATTTCATTTATGTCCGTTTTCAGGTTTGTATATTAGGCATTTCTATATATAGTACAATAAATCAGCTATGCAACTTCAATACATAAATACGCTTCTCTGAAGAAAATGGGCTTCCTCTTATAGGAAACCAGGAGGAATAATAGATTTGAACACATTTAACACGGTCATTGTTAAAATTTACAAGGTAATGGCTTATTGGCATGACTGTCGACAAAATATCAATTGAATTGTGCTTTGATTGGTAAATAAAATGTGATGTCCAAAAATGCTATTTTACACAATGTTTAATGGAATATTAACATATCTAATATCTGTACGTATTTTTTTTTTAAATTTAGGCTTTTTTTGGTGTTAATTCGCAGGCGTTGACAGCATCTTTTACAAACGGGGACTTCTCGTCAGTAACTGAAATATATTTTATTATATATTTAGAGTGTTAAAGGTTTTGACAATTAAAAAGATTCTATGCTTAAATTTGATATTTCAAAACATTGATAATTGCTACAGAGTCCCTTTGTAAATATAGAATTAAAATGTTTTGACTGAAATGGTATGTCTACTATAAGTGGTCACAGTATGAATATATACATGTAGTGTTATTAAAAATCTGACAGTTTTTAAAGAAAAGATGAACTTTACTTGACCTGTTACGGGGAACGCAGCTTCCAATATAGTTAATTCATTCTTAAATTCAAATTAAGCATATTCGGTATGAATTTCATAAATTGCAATAAATTTCTGTGATAAAAAATATTTTACTAAAAGATAAGCATAACATATCTTTAAGTAAAAACAAAACTACAATAATTATTATATATTAGTTTATCATACAGAGTTTAAAAAAGGGATAATTTTTAAAAGTCGAAAATTTCGAAGTTTGATTCACATGACTGTACTCACTTGATAGAAAGTCGTCTTTATCACATGTCCAAATCACTTTCTTGTCGATCACAAGCTCGCATGCATGGCGTCGCTTGCCTTCGGCTGCGGAAACGGTACAACCAGCGGACGTCAGAGCTCCTAATTAAATAATAAGAGAAACTTGCGCATGACATATAACCCTTCGACGTTTTAATACATTAAAGGCCATTGCCTCTAATCTATTTTTTATTTAAACCGTTTTGTTATGAAAAAACTTTGTAATTGATACGACAATAATTGTCTAACTTTCGTGAAAAAATACAGCATCACATAACAGTTATTTTAAAAGTTCTAGAATTATAATATTTAAAGAATTCGTAAGGCAAAAGAACTAATGTTTGGTACAGTGCGAAAAAGAAAATTATATGGTTAATCTGCCATAAGTGATCTGTATTTTATCAAAGTATATTATAAATCACATCATGAATATTTTTATAACAATATTTAATATTAAATTTTGCGAAATTTTTATTTTGTGTTTTAAATAATATTATATCTTATAAGTAAGTGATTTCAAATACGTTTTTAATAAAAAATCACGTTTTGGTATTTTCATAAAAGTTTGTGCGATTTAGATTTGCATTAAGGGTAAATGAAATTGAAATTTCAAGCTTACGTTTTAACACGGCTACCGGCTTGTCCGACTGGTTGATACCGCTTCATGCCTTATAGGGGCTATAATGCAGCGTTACTTTCATCTTTCCTGAAATATGAGTCTAAACTTATATCATATGAACCCATGTTACATCCGTATGAACTAACATTTCAACCGTATAAATCAGAATTAACCCGTATGAACTAAGATTAAACCGTTCTATTCGCAGAAGAAAAATAGTAAGACATTAATGAAAAAGACGTTATAGATCTACATTAAATTTTAGTTTTTACTTCGTATTTAATCGTATAGGGAAAACATATATTCGAAGATCATAATAAATTAAGACATTTTATATTCACATTGAATTTTAGTAAAAATATGTATATAATTATCTTACTTCGTATTGAATCCAATGGGGGAACCAGGCACCTTAGTAAAGGTATGAATTGTAAATGGCTTGTTATAATAATCGAGTGTTTAACTTATTTGTCTAAGGCTATACAAAATTTAAAATTTGGTGTCGTACCGAACTGAAAACAGAACATTTACTGCAAAATATAACATAGGTTAAATATTTGATTTCAAAACTTTTCTTTTATCTGAACCATTATCTGCTTTTATAACAAGTAAAACTACTTGGTTATTAACTTCTTTACAAATATTTTATTTAGCTTTTTTAACTGTTCCGCTTTGATCGTACATAACAAAAAGCGTCGGAACATTTATTTTCTATTCACTACCTTTGGCCTGAAAATATATATTCTCTATTGATAGTTTTACTATTGACAATACGTACGGAATTGTGAAACTCGTATTTTTATATTTTTTCCGATATATTGACTAATGCACAGTACTTAATTGTGCGATAATTCTTCGAACAAATACGAAAGCGGCAATAGTTACTACTTTAGTATATTAAAATACTTATACGTTAAGGTAATAAAATTTTATGATGTTAAAAAGATTAATATTGAATTTTACAGATTATTGAACTAGTATCGATGAAATATTTTAACATGCTGAAAATTGATAGCATCAAAATCGAACTTTAACTTAAATTATCCTATTATTTATTTAGATAGATAAGTGTATTACATTTTATTATAATAATTACATTTTCTTTTTATCTTGATTTACAAAGAATTAGATTACATTTGATCCTCAGCCGGTTAAAGTTGTTTAACATTGAATTGTATTATCTTTAATCTTTATACAAGCAATAAGGTGTACCAACAATAAGATTACATTTGATTGTCAGCTGGGATCCACTCGACGAAGATGGGAAAGACGGTGACTTTGAAGTATGGACCATTCATGAAGAGATGAGACGTAACTTTATACTCAGACAAGCATTTGACCCCTCTTATCAGTAAGTTGCAAACATTTATTAAATAAGTTAGTGTTTTGCAATAGTTTAAGCATAATATTTGCTTTATATGTAAGTTTCTCGTATAGTACGGTTACGTAGAAATAATCTGGCTGATTCCAGAAACGATGTAGCTGTATCGAACAACTGTGTTAAAGCTGTATGCCTCCAGAAGAGCCAAAATTTATCTTGAAAAACTATCTATCAAGATTTTTAGACAAGTAAAATGAATTCAAGATTCAATTAACAATTTACATGTTATGTGCGATTATTGACTGATTTTGCAGCATTTATCAGCATATCTTACTGCGTTACTAACTAACTAACGCAGTAAGGGCTACTTGTTTGCATATTTTGACATCCTTTTGATAATTTACATGGATTGTGTGAATGCAATTTGTAATGTGTAAATTACTTTCTTTGTTCACTTAACGAAATACATTTTTAAGATTCTCAGAAAAATATCATGAATTTGGAGGCATGTCGCTTAGTGTATTGATTTCATCATTTATTTGCTTAACAATGATGTTATCATGTCATCAAGTGGAGCAGATATTTATTGTCACTTGTTATCATGTATGATGTAATTTATAGATATGTAATTCTAATATAATGGTTTATTGTTTAAAACAGAAGAGTTGGAGTCTGCTGGGTTTGATGTAGTGGCTGACAAGATCGCAAGAAAAGATCATTGTGAACTTGTCATTGATAAACAGGTTGTATGGACTTGCAGCATAAATCTGTTTCAAGCAGGTGTGTATTATACTTTTTCGGTCGTTTGCTGTTTGTTTTCACCTTGGCTTCCGGTACATTACCGATGCCGAAAATCTTATCCGTTTGCTTTGTTAAAATATGACGAATATCAAAATCAAAACCCTAACAATCCTTACCGCGTCTAGTGATAGTTCAACTATTATGATCGAAGATTAAATTCATTTCGTCTTACGGACCCACCACATGCAAAACGACAGATACCATACGTTTGAAACGTTGAATTTCATTAAATTTTTTGTTTGTTGTTTATTAAAATATTATAACACCTGTTTCAGCGAAATCTGCCAAGCTTTTGCAAAATCCCTATAAATTATAATAACCCTTACTTTGCTGGAACAGAAATAATGATGAGCCTTAATCACCAGATCCTTTTAAAAACATCCTTTATAATTTGATATCTACACCATTTAGATTCAATTAGGCTGTTCCGAATTCAAAGTAGTGAAAATCAATTACACAAGTTCATCATATAATAACTATCTCCTGTCATAAATGATATAGGATATGCCATTACTTGTTTGCACGGTCTGTATGGTAAGCAATGAAATGTTCTATGTCTTTAATTTGCAGTAATGAGGAAAAGGAACGACCCAATGATTCAAGCAGCTGTAAAGGCATGTAGATCTGCATCAGGAAATGCAAAAGCTTAACATTGTGTCATTTAATAACAGCGACAAGAGGATATGAACAAAACAGCAACAACAACAGCGTTACACTCTATAGGCTGAACTTTAAAGATAACTTGTTCATCAATCACAGCTTTTTGAACTCTTAGAAAGTCGAACTTCTCATTTTATATAAAATAACTATGAACGTTTTAACAGTCTACTCAATGTATTGTGAATAAACCTACGATTCATTTGTCATAATATCTCGCTAACTATTACTTATGAATGGCCAACTCATATTGGACTATGTATCGCTTTTGTAGCTATTGTAGCTACGCATTGTATGTCTATGATCAAAGTAAAAAAGGTTATGTTTGCGAACGATTTTCTTTTCTATTTGACATAAAAAAGATTATGTTACATATTGTGATATATAATAGAATTATACATGCTATAAAATACAAATATTTGGCTTTAATTTGACCTTCTGATATATGAATGACGTGTTTGTTTTAAATGTGAAGTAACAAATACTGATGTTTTGAATTGACCAGAAAGGTTCAAATGACGTCATATACAAATTTAAATAAATGTTTATTATAAACACAATAAATAACAGTGTTCTCTTCTATATTTGTCCAAACAATAACAACAGGTTGTGTGTTCACATTTATGATTGTTACGATTTTGAAATAAGCTGACTGGACTACAGATTGCTGTCATCTAAGACTATAAATCTTTTAAAAACGTAACGTTTGGTGCTCCGAATATCAAAATTAGTATAATTGCTAGGGAATATCGACCTAAGGCTGTAGAAATATTTTGTGCAAAGATTGTTCATTTTAGAATGTTAGACAATAAAACGCTTTAAAAACGTAACGTTAAATTATCTCAAGACTGGTATTTCTTGGCAATACCGACCTGATGCAGTAGAACTATTTTGTGAAATCTTATCGGCAAGAATTGCTTATTTTTACTTTAAAGCGCTTTAAAACGTAACGTCAGTAGTGACGGTACGACAAAGGTAGTAGCTCTTTATCCCAAGATTGGTTTTGATAAATATCGACGCGAGTCAATTAAAATATTCTGTGAAATTTTCTCGCCAATTGTTGGTTTCAGAGGAACATAAATGTTTATTCAGACTTAAAAATAGATAACACCAGAATGAATGCTTATTCTTATTTTGTTATTCAAATCTATAACCAATTGGGTATAAAATGGAGGTTAACTGTTAATGCTGCCACATTGTGCATATAGTAGTAGACAAAACCCTCAGAATCCCTAAAGAACGTCTAAAACGGGAAAATTGAAAATGGTACAGGCTTAAATATGATTGAACCAATAAAGCATCAAAATGAACATTTTATTTATTTATTTATTTATCTACAGATAATTTCTAATTATTTTCTTCAATCTTTTTTTCAACTTTAGGGCCTACACTTTTAAACAACGTAATGTTTGGGTTTAAATACTCATGTCAAATGGGATAGCATATCTTTGAGAAATGGGTGGATGAGGCGGAAAAACAGAAGAACAACACTAGAATATCAGAACAAAACATTTAATTTATTCACTTAAGTAATGAGCCAATATGACTCCTATTCTACATACACATACATCGTATCAACATTATAAGAACGTGTTTTTTAAAATAATGCATGTCATTCAAAGCCAATGGATCAGCAAAGCCATCAATATTTGTCCATTCTTTATTTCAGACAACCATGTCATATATGCATTTCCATAGTTTTCAATAACATGAATTATTTTCAAAATATGTTCTCACAGGGGGTGTAAAGTTTTCATCTTGATAATTTCTATAATGATAGTTAGCTAAGATTTAATTTGTCCTTTCGTATTCTTCACAGCTTCTAATGCACTGATGGCACTGGTGGTAAGTGTATGGTTCTTTACTGTATCTGAAATATGAAACAGAAATGTTCTATTATGCATGAAAAATAAAGTAATAATATTTGAATAACTTGTCAATGCCTCAAACATGTAAAAGACGTGTTCATGATTTCATCACGATTACAACTAAATCAATATGAAATCGTGCCTATAAACTTTCCAATTCCTTTACATTTAATGGAATAAATCGGTACTTTTATTCTTAGGAAGATACATAATTGAGCCGTGTCACGACAAAACCAACATAATGGGTTTGCGACCAGCATGGATCCAGACCAGCCTGGGCATCCGCGCAGTCTGATCAGGATCCATGATGTTCGCTATCAGTTTCTCTACTTGTAAGAGTTGGTAAGCGAACAGCATGGATCCTGATCAGACTGCGCGGATGCGCAGGCTGGTCTGGATCCATGCTGGTCGCAAACGCATTATGTTGGTTTTGTCATGACGCGGCTCATAAGCTTTCAATCATTCTTTAAATAACATCATGCCCATCCAAGTGTGTAAAGTAGTTGAACAGGTGAAAGTCAAAATAAGTTTTACAATAATACCTTTTAATTTTACAATTTATTTATTCACATGAACGAAAAATAAGTCACATGGCCCGAGAAAATTTCTATAAATTATATCAACCGGAATTTACCTGCAACGTTCAATTTATCTTAAAGAGTGCGGCAGACTTTTTAAACTTCAGGCAGATTTATATCTGTTTTATTCTGAACATTCTCGAGGTCAATCACCATTAAAACAGTCTTTTTTTTTTCTTTTTTTTTAAATAGTCACTCCAGCTCAACTTGGCAATGAAAACAATGAGCATTATGTCCCATTTAAACGAAATTTAAATGAATTTACTAAATTAAGGCTAAGAAACTCAGCATATTTTGGATATTTTTTGTTCAAAATGATAGTCACACATATAATTGTTCCTATTATGTCTTACCTAAAAGAAGATCGGGTATCGAGCACTTCCAAACAACTTTCTTGTCTACAACCAGCTCACAGGTATCACGTCTCTTTACTTGAACAGGCACCACCGTAAAACCACGTGACCCCAGACCATCTTTATGAAAAAATCAAGGTGGTATTGATGTATAATAAAGAACGGATATAATAAGTAATAAAGTGGTACATAAAATTTAAACATCTTACGACAGACACTTATTCAACACATTTTTATTTTGGTATTCTGCTGATATAGGTACGCTAAATTTATATAAAACTATCGAGCATAAGTTAACAAAAAAGGTCTTACTCAATCTGATTAAAATCAGCTTCTAATTAACGCTACACATTAAAAAATTTTGGCAAAATATCAATAGGTCTGAACTTGAGAATCAGATTGAGGTCTTACTTATCAATGGAGCCACAGGTTTCTGCGAGTGGTAGACACCGTTTCATCTTTGGTAAGGACCGTAATGTAGAAACACCTTCATCTTGTCTGCTGCAATGAAGTGAAGAAATAATGAACGTTACGTTACGTTACGTTCTGATAATGACATTATGATTTGTAAATTAACCTTTATGTTCGTCAAAATGCTTTCGAAATACAGAATTTGATATTTTGTAAGATACAAACTTTTATCAGATCTACACAAACAGAAACTATTTTTACTGTATAATAGGTTTCTAACTTTGCTCATTTAAACAATTAAGTAATAACATTAAATAGACTAATCTAATTTTGAAATCGTATTTAGCGTCACAAATAAACTTTTCATTTTTATCCATCGGTATCGTACTCACTCTTCCATCAAAGCGTTTACTGTGTTATAACCCGAGAGATACAGGCTTTGCTGACATGTATTTAAACAATTATTTTCTCAACCGAAGTCACTTAAACAAAAAAAATCAAACTTTTCAGATTATGTTTTTTATCAATGTAATAAGTATAATAAATTAAAGAATATCAAATAATATATACACTAACCTTTCTCTGAGATCTACTTTTAGCTTTTAAATTAAATAGTTTAATAACAAATAGTGGTAAATATCAGTACACTTTTATAGTTATAAATTCACACGTCATACAATTCAGTTAATACAAATCGATCGTCAATACTTGTAGTTAAATAGGCCAACTGTTTAAATATGAGATTAACGCTCATTAAACACAAATTTATCGACTTTTTTTACCAGATCTTTCTTTTTCGTATGGGACAATAAATAAAAAAATAACGTTTGTAATGCTGTGTTCTCACCGCCGATCAGATCAATTCGATCAAGCACGATCAAGCGATCGGGTACCTGTCTAGCTCGGTCTGCATGCGTGATCGGGAGTAATTAGTGAGCGGTCTACCTTGGTCGGCATGGCTCGTGCTTCCTACCCGAATTTTTTTGACATGTCAAAAAAATTCGAGTAGCGATCGAGTAGATAAGCGGTCGAGAAGCGATCGTATTGTAATCGAGTAGAAGATTTAGTTGATCGAGAATAAATCGTGTAACGATCTAGTTTGGTCGGGTATACATCTCTTACCCGATCTGTACACGATCATCTCGACTTCTACACACGACTATTTACGACTCGATTACGATCATTACGATCTGGTCGGGTGGAAATTTGGAGACGATTAAGCACAGGTCCAGTTAATCTAGTTGAGATCGTGTAGGTCTGGGTGATCGAGAAGAAGCCGGGATGTTGGTCGGGTTGTCGTCGAGACATCGTGTAGGGTCGACTTGAGGTCGTGTAGGAGTCGTGAATGTGCATTTAATCCAGCTTGGTCTGGCTTAATCGGTGAATTAATGTGATCGGGACGATCGAGTTGATCTGATCGGCGGTGAGAACATAGCATTAAGCACGAGGATCATTAGCACGAAATAATACAACAATTAACTTCCATGACTACGGTGTCTCGTTGGGGTTATCTCTACAAACGCACAACTCGAAACAACGAAGACAAGAAATACGATGGTGAAAGGTCGAAGTAACGAAACCACGATGGTGGATAAGGAAGTTAACTGTTGTATCTAAATAATTATTTCGTGCAAATAATCTTGAAAATGTGTTTGATGCTTGATCGTATATAAATATCATTTGATAAACTTTAATATGATGGCGTTTTAAATTACTTTATCGGATTTGCTCTACTTATTAGGTATATGTGTAGATATGTTATTAGAAAAAAAACCCAATCGTATCTGTTCTTATTCATTGGTATCAGTATTACAGTAAAATGCATATCTATTTTAATGTTTTAGTTGCAATTTATTAAGAAAGTTGTGGAAACGTGTTGATATCTTCAGGGAACTATGCATAGTTATCTATAGCTCAGTTAACTTATATCGCGAGTCACTTTATGAAAAAAAAATGATATCAATAGTTTGACTTAAAGAATGTATGAATATCGCATCTTCTATATTGTTAATTAATTATGAGTGCAGGGGAATTTACTAGTACACTATAAAATACGAAGGCATGTAAGAGTTATTTGTTCTTCTGCGATATAAAAGTATCCAAAGTTTTTCAAATTTTCGTATTTTTATCTGTTCGTCTGAAGCCCCGTGGGGAAAAAGGCAACGTGACCCTTGTATACGCTTTTTCATGTACAAAGTTCAATGACAACATAAAAAAATAATCTGTAATCTTAAGGAGGGAAATCTCACATCTTATCACATTAAAGGGTAAGGGCGATACCTAACAATTTTAAACACTTAAAATAGATTGATTCATTACGATACAAAAAATAGTCTAGACAGATAAGAACATCCCATAAGATTAAATAAAACCCTACATTTGAACACAACACGCATGAACCTGCCTTGTACTGATCGAAAACAGGTAAGATAACTTGATTTAATTAATCAATTTTTTTGTTTATTTTTTAACATTAATTTTGCTCAAATATATATTTTGCATGTTTTGTTAATGAAATCACGGATTTATATGTAATTAAAATCCATGGTAAAATTAACCGTGCATGAGCATTTTGTAAGACTTTAGTTTTGTTCTTTTCGGAGATTACTTAATTCGCAATTTAAAGGTACATCATGCCGAAGAAAAAGGATAATTTTTTATTTTCTTTAGAAAGGGCAAACATGAATTTTATTATGTTTTGATAATGGCTGTGAAAAACGTAAGATGCATGTAACCTGAAGAAAGTAGCGATAAATATAAAATAATTTGTCTTTAAATTAGCAAACTGTAAATAAAGTAGTATTTTGACTTTCATACAAAACAAAAACTACTTCACTATTAATAAATAAAAAGCAAAAAGCAACAGATGAAATATATAATTCAAGTAATCGGCCAGCTAACTTTTTAGATATACTATAAAAGCACACAAAAATTTAAAAGCTTTTGAGAAATAAAAATGCAAGCATTTCTGAGGCATAATGGGCCTTTAAATTGCAATGAAAGAATTATTTGATGTAAGTTTATGTATTATCTTGATTTTTTACTTGGAAGATGTATTGAAATGATAAGGTCCGTTCGTTGCATGACATAATCTGTTCGAAAAATGAAGCTTGTTGATGAGTAATATATTTTTACATTTAATAGTTTGGAATAATATTAAAGTAAATTAAACTTACGAACTGTGAGAGACAGTAAACTGTAAGGCAAATTCATTGCTAATACATGTACATATTATTCAAACTGCATATCGTTCCAAGTTCTCGCAAAGTTAATATATAGTCATTCTCGTGAATTGTAAATATATCTCAAATTCGTTTAAGGATTTTGTGTTAATAAATCTTTTTGTAGTTTTTTTCTGATTTCTTTATTTATTCATGCCGATATCACGAGGTCTCACTTTTATCAAATACCGCAGTTAAACTCACTCAACGCGTGATACCTATCCTTCGGAAAATGCATATAGTAAAACCTTACATAAATTACTGTTAAAATCTAATTTGTATAAGGATATAAAGTTTATCAGTATACATTTTAACCTGAAGTGTCAGCTGGCTAAATACAATCTAAAATAAATAAGGACAAAAGTTAATTGAAAATGTAGTTACTGCAATCTACGGAAGCTTATCAGGGCCTCCACTTATCTAAAAGTTTCACGTCATGTAAACTTGTTTACGAAAGCCTAATAGTGTCAAATGAAATAAAAAATAAAATTGCGTGAAATATAACGTGAATAAAAGCGTCATTACGCGAATCAAAAGGCGTAATAACGCGAATAAATGCGTTATAACGCGAATCAAAAGGCGTAATAACGCGAATAAAGGCGTAATAACGCAAACCAAAAGGCGTAATAACGCGAATAAAGGCGTTATAACGCGAATTAAAAGGCGTAATAACGCAAATCAAAAGGCGTAGTAACACGAATAAAGGCGTAGTAACGCTAACCAAATCGCGTAATAACGCAAATTTAAACGCATTTTAATGCAAATTTAATACCATATTTATACTAATCAAATGGCCTAGTAACGTGAGAAAGGAAGACCAATATTGATCTGAATTTATTGTTCAAGATATAAACTCGTATAGAATAATATAATATACATTTACAATAACTAACATTCCATTTGCGCAGTAATAATGCAAACTATTTGTCATAAACTAATGAAGACTCTTTAATATTTGCCAATTTAAGGTGACTTGGTGCCTTATAGGTCCATTGGACTGGACGTAAATACAGTTAATCTGAATTCACATGTATCACATCATTGATTTTACACATGTCACTATAGTAAATGAATTTTTTTTCTTTTCTTATCTTATCTTATCTTATCTTATCTTATCTTATCTTATCTTATATGTGCGTCATATGTTCAATTATCTTCGGATATATCCTATTTGATTACCTTATAACCTCTAGTATCTTCTAATTATGTGAATGCCATTCCTAATTAAGTTATAGGTAATAGGCTATAGGTAAACGTAAGGTATAAGTTAGTCACATTAGGGTGATTATTGATAGGTATGCTTAAATGGGGGATAGTGTTTCAGTTAAGTCACAATTATAGGAGACATTGCCTTCTTTGTCTATGTAGAAAAGTATCTATAGTTGGGTGATAGTTAACCTCTAATCTCACGAAATCATGTCCTAATAAAAGATTAAAAAAATCAGACTGTGGCTTTAGGACGTATCCGTACAGAATTGAAAATAAAACGTACGTCTTGGATCAACATTGTTCTTCCTATCTTACATTACTAGGCCACTGTTTGGAATTTATATGGTATTAAATTAGCGTTATAACGCCTTTTGTTTTGCGTTATTGCGCCTTTTGGTTCGCGTTATTACGCCTTTTGATTCGTGTAATTACACCTTTTGATTTGCGTTAAAACGCGGGTAAAGGCGTTACTACGCCTTTTGTTTCGCGTTATATCGCGAATAAAGGCGTTACTTCACCTTTTGATTCGCGTTATAACGCCTTTATTCGCGTTATTACGCCTTTTGATTCGCGTTATAACGCCTTTATTCGCGTTATTACGCCTTTTGATTCGCGTTATAACGCCTTTATTCGCGTTAGTACGCCTTTTGATTCGCGTAATTACGCCTTTTGATTCGCGTTTAAACGCGAATAAAGGCGTTACTACGCCTTTTGTTTCGCCTTATAACGCGAATAAAGGCGTTACTTCTCCTTTTGATTCATGTTATAACGCCTTTATTCGCGTTATTACGCCTTTTGATTCGCGTTATTACGCCTTTATTCGCGTTATTACGCCTTTTGATTTGCGTTATAACGCCTTTATTCGCGTTAGTATGCCTTTTGATTCGCGTAATAACCCCTTTTGATACGCGTTATAACGCGAATAAAGGCGTTATAACGCCTTTTGATTCGCGTTATAACGCCTTTTGATTTGCGTTATTACGCCTTTTGTTTTGCGTTATAACGCGAATAAAGGCCTTATAACGCCTTTTGATTCGAGTAATTACGACTTTGTTTCGCGTAATAACGCGAATAAAGGCGTTACTACGCCTTTTGATTCGCGTTATAATGACTTTTTTCGCGTTATTACGCCTTTTGATTCGCGTAATAACGCCTTTCAATTCGCGTTTTAACGCCTTTATTCGCGTTATAACGCGAAACTAAAGGCGTAATAACGCGAATCAAAAGGCATACTAACGCGAATAAAGGCGTTATAACGCGAATCAAAAGGTGTAATAACGCGAATAAAGGCGTTAAAACGCGAACATAAAGTCGTAATAACGCGAACCAAAAAGCATAATAATGCGAAACGAAAAGCGTTATAACGCTAATTTAATACCATATAAATTCCAAACAGTGGCCTTGTGATGTAAGATAGGAAGAACAATGTTGATTTAAATGAATTGATCAATTTCAATTCTGTACGGATACGTCCTAAGGCCACAGTCTGATTTTTTTAATCTTTTATTAGGAAACGCTTTCATGAGATTAGAGGTTATTATCACCTAACTATAGATACTTTTCGATAAAGATAAAGAAGACAATGTCTCCTATAATTGTAACTTAACAGATACACTTTTACCCCTCTAAGCATACCTATCAATAATTAGAGATACTTTCACCCTAATGTGACTTATGTATGCCTTACGTTTTTCCAAATCTTGTTACCTATAGCCAATTACCTATAGCGTAATTAGGAACGACATTCACATAATTAAAAGATACTACAGGTTATTAAGTAATTTTACAGGACATATCCGTAGATAATTTAACATATGCCGCACATATAAAATAAGATAAGATATAAGAAAAAATAGAAATTCATTTACTATAGTGACATTTGTAAAAATCAATGATGTGAATTCAGAGTAACTGTATTGACATATAACCCAATGGACCTTTAAGTCTCCAAGTCACCTTATATTGACAAATATCAAAGAGTCTTCATTAGTTTATTACAAATGGTTTGCAATATTACTGCGCAAATGGAATGATAGTTATTGTAAATGTATATTATATTATTCTATACGAGTTTATATCTTGAGCAATAAATTCAGATCAATGTTGTTCTTCCTTTCTCACGTTACTAGGCCATTTGATAAGTATAAATATGGAATAAAATTGGCATTATAATGCGTTTTAATTTGCGTTATTACGCCTTTTGGTTCGCGTTACTACGCCTTTTTTCGCGTTACTACGCCTTTTGATTTACGTTATTACTCCTTTTGTTTCGCGTTTCTACGCCTTTATTCGCTTTACTACGCCTTTTGATTTGCGTTATTACGCCTTTTGGTTCGCGTTACTACGCCTTTATTCGCGTTACTACATGTACGCCTTTTGATTTGCGTTATTACGCCTTTTGTTTCGCGTTATAACGCGAATAAAAGCGATATTATGCCTTTTGATTCGCGTTATAACGCCTTATAGGCGTTATTAGGCCTTTTGATTCGCGTTTTGATTCGCGTTATAACGCCTTTATTCGCATTACTTCGCCTTTATTTGCGTTTCTACGCCTTTTGATTCGCGTAATAACGATTTTATTCGCGTCATAACGCCTTTGCATTTTTATTTTTTTATTTTATTTGACACTATTAGGCTTTCGTACTTGTTCCTTTCCGTTTTGACCAAAAAGATTCCATGAAGACGTAATGATTAATACCTGATACGTAGAAGTTTTTATCTTGGCGAAAAAACTTCTATTGAATAACGTGAACTTACGGGTTAGTAGACGTTTTTTTTTTATTATTTATGAATCAGATTGATGTGTACGTCAATTAAAAATGTTTGAAATGTGCTACCACTCCCCTTAATTTTGTAATTGAGCATTTAGTAATGGAATATAAAGATAACGTGTGCTTAAAACATGTGACTTCTTGTCGACGCAAACATGTAACAATAATCCAGAGAAAACATTTGATTCCGCAATGATCTTCTAGCTTAAACACTGGTGAAGTGCATACTATAGAAATAGAAAACCTTACTTTAGATGAGCACAGTGAACTGTGATAGAAGGCATCATAAGGGAAATAGGTGACATATTCATGTAGTGAAGTAATCATAAGATGTCCTTAACACATTTAAAAACCTAATCGAAAATGCTAAATTCCATTAATTTAATTTACACTGGATAAATCCTCAATGCGAAAAGAAGTATAATGTTACTTTAACTTGTAAATCAGACTGAACTAGAAGTGTTTACAACAGCTACATGTGCTAGTTAACAAACTTTATTCAAACCTATATATATATGCACCTATCTTGATAACAGTTATTCAATATGGCAAATATATCAGTAAAATGCTTCAATTGTACGTATACAGATGTTTTTATTTTGTTTTACAGAAGAAACAGCATCTATATTCAATGACAAACGAACAGGAAAAAGTGAGGTATAAAAGAACAAACTTTACATTTGAACAGATTGAATACATCAGTAAAGATGGCGGAAAAAGAAATCAACGTGTTGCTGTGTTTAGTATTAATTTATGCTAGTGCTCGGTGTTGGAATGTCGAATTACTGAACAGTACACATTTTGTGTGTGATTACAGTAGTTACTACTCAAAATTAGTCATTAGAAATGGTTACGTAGAGCAAGATGTGAAAGAATGTTTACAGTCACATCCAGAGACCAAAACATTGGAATATACACATAGCAAATTGAAAACAGTTCCCATATATCTAGGGGTTTTAAAAGAACTTACTAATTTAGATTTATCTTACAATGAAATATCATCCGTCTCATTTACTGGGATGGAAAATACCTGCAAAAGAATATCGAATCTTGTTCTTGACAGAAATGTCATTCGTGTTTTACGTAAGGGGAGCTTAGACTGTCTGGAATCTTTGGAAAAACTTTCTATTGCCAACAACACCCTTGAACGAATCGAGAATGGAACATTCAATACCAAGTTAAAGTCATTATATGACATCCATTTAGCTTTTAATAATCTGACTCATATTGACAGTAGCTTGTATAGTAAATTTTTATTGTCTACGGATACGAGAGTGAAAGTTAATGCATCTTTTAACAATATAATAGGCTTTACAAATTCAATAAACATGACAATAAATGATATAACTGAATCCTCCAGCATGATAGCTATACTTCTTCATAACAATTTCACAGGATTTAATATTAAATACTATTTCAACATGTTCAATATCACACAACCTAAACGACAATTGCCAAGATTAACGAAAAGCGGGTTTGATTTAAGGTTTAATCCGTTTATTTGTGACTGTGCGCTTTATCCGTTGTCGCAAGCACTTAACGTCTGCCATGCAATGGATCCGGACGATCCATATTTTTCAATCACCTGTGGTTCTCCTATCAGCTTACAGGGAATGATGGTAAGACAAGTTAGAAAAGAGCAATTTAACTGCTCAATTACACAGAATTGTCCGGCATCCTGCACATGTACCGAAACTATTGCCCTTAACCTTATCACGATTCGTTGCAATGATGGTTTCCTTGGCAAGGAGTTACCTTTGTCAATCCCAGCAGCCGATAATTTATATATCAGTATGAAATCTCAACACATGACAAAGCTCTCCACCAGGCAATATCTTCAAAACGTTACAGTTCTTGACGTGTCGGACTGCTCAATTAACGACATTGATCCATCAGTTGTACACACCCTTGATGGCGGAATAACAAACACGGTATACCTTCATGGCAATAATTTAGAATACATTCCTAGGACATTTCAAAATTTTAATTTCAGTAAAGGAGACATTTTGACCATTGATGGGAATCCATTCAAATGTGATTGCCATTCATTATGGATGAAAAAATGGCTTCTGTCAAATACAAAACATGTTATTCACCAAGATAAAATAAGATGCTCTGTTGGACCTGATGCTGATCGACCAGTGGTTGCAGTACCGGACAATGAATTTACATGTGAAACTGGACTTACCTTAAAAGAAATAATTATTATTACAGTTGCTTCAATGGCAGGCACAGTATTTCTTGCTATGCTCATAGTTTGCAAATTCAATAGCATTCAAGTAATTATGATATCAAATTTTGGAGTATGTACATATTGTTTCAGGCGAAGAAAAAAGCGTCGTTTGCAATACGATATATTCATAGCCCATTCATGTGAAGATGACGTAACGATAGGAAACATCGTTGATTTCTTGGAAAGTCAATCGCCATCTTATCAAGTTTGCCTGGGTGAGAGAAACTTTCAACTCGGTAGAACAATATCCGAAAATATACTCGATACGATCGAGTCCAGCCATACTACTTTGATGGCCATTTCCAATAACTTTCTCAGGAGCAGTTGGTGTAGCATGGAATTCCGTGAGGCTCACATGAGATTTTTGAGAGATAGAAATGTCAATATGGTTTTGATTGTCTTGGAAGACCTAGACGAAGAACTAATATTCAAAGAGTTACGTCTATACTTACAAACACATGTATATCTTAAATTCACAGACAGATATTTTTTGGCGGAACTCTTACAAAATATTCCTATAATGATACCAAGTGACAAAGAAACAGACCCATTACTTTCGAATTAGTTTAGAAAAGAGGTCATCAAAAGAACAAAGTAGTATACATTAACATCTGTAAAGTGGGCATATTCATCGTTGGAACGCACGGTAGACATTCCGTATATACTACATTTAATATTTACCCGATACTGGTATACGGTAAATAGCCTGGCTTGCCGATGTAAAGGGCGTATTTCATGTTACTTTTATTCCAGGAACTATATTGTTACAGACTTAGTAACAATTACATGGGAAGCATTCAATTTTGTATGTATATTTTTAAGTAATAGGAGCTTATCTTTTCACTTTGATTCACTTAGCATGGCAAAAGATCTCAGTAAAACACAAAAGGTTTTACTTTTATTAAAAAATTACTATTATAAGTAAATATAATCCATTTTGTTCTGATATTATTTGGATTTTATTATATTATCATTTTAATGTATTAATCATTCAAATTTTTTTGGTATTATTTTAATTTAAACGGAGTTGTTTGTTGATTAATTAGTTTTTTTTTCTGTATACATATGATGTATATCAGACATTTTCTACTAGTAGATAGTTTTGTAATTCGTTACATTTGATACTTTTTTCTGTTTTCATTCCATTCATATTTCAAGATAAAATTCCAAAATAGATCTACTGTTTGATTATTATCAATATTTTATTGCGTAGTCCCCGACATTTTATCTGTTATTTGGATTTTATAATATTATTATTTTATTGTATTACACGCTATTAGCATCACTCGTCATAGAACATTCTCCCATAAAAAGATAGTTAGTATACTAAAAGCATTGATTACAGCAATGTTTGGAAGTGAATGACTATTTCAAACGTACACATATGGCAGCTTCTTATGCCGATAACGTTTAAAATGAGGTTTGGGTAAGTTAAAACGCCTTGTCATTTGTTTCATTAAAATTATTTCAAATTATTCAACCCCTTGCTACAATACACATGTATTAGTATTTGGCATGGATTATTTGTCGCCATAGAGTACCTTTTTTTATAAAATATTATGTGAATACCTCTTACAAAAAATCAAATTAAAACGGAAACAGAATATAGATATAGCTTAGATATTGTAATGATGGCTTTATGGTAAAATTGCCCCGCCCCATTGAAGCCTCGTGGCTTTCTAGTAAAGGACTTCGGGGCTATTGTAGATATATTTTGCGAAGTGCTGATGGAGTGTTATAAAAGATGTATTTTGGATAAAAAAGGCAGTTTCTATAAGTAGTATTATTTGTTTAAAGCGTAATCTATGTTATATCATTCAAATAATGTTAATACACCGGTATAACATTTCAATAAAAAAGTAGCAATGAATATTTCAATGCAATGGCTTTGCTATGTTGCATGGATGATAATAGGATTCTAGCTTTTATATATTTTTTATATTTGTAAATGCTTAAAACAGATGTAGTTGAGACCAGAGTTCGATTGAAACTGCTAGTATCAGATAATATATTACATGTACCATGACGATTAAGGGGAAGTAACTCAATTACAAGTCTGAAATGATTTTAAATAAATTACGTTTCTTGATTGCATGTTAACTGTTTGGTATTCGACCATATTTGGGACACCTGTCATATGACAGCAGTTCTACAACACAAAAACTGTCAATAAGATTTGTTTTAGAATCGTTATTGTCACATTATTTATTTAAATAAATCTATGGCATAATTCATTCTCCAATAGACCCTCAGAATGTTGTTGGGGATCATACCGGTAGGGGACTTATGGATTGCTTGCAATAACATGATAATTGCTTGTTTTACGAATGTTCTTATATCTTATATACAGAAAGAAGAAATCGCCAAACCAAATACGACGGTCACAATACTCTGCGGGCCTCGCGAGGCCATCTTTTGGGGTTATACCTTTGTGTCTAATATTGCTGTAAAATTTACGAAAAGTCTTACAATTTTATATTATAAACACAAGAAACAAATATGAGCCGCGTCACGACAAAACCAACATATAGCGTTTGCGACCAGCATGGATCCAGACCAGCATGCGCGTCCGCGCAGTCTGATCAGGATCCATGCTGTTCGCTTACAAACTCTATAACAAGTAGAGAAACTGATAGCGACCAGCATGGATCCTGATCAGACTGCGCGGATGCGCATTACGTTGGTTTTGTCGTGACGCCGCTCATATATTGTTTTCTCTGGAGAAGGGACACATATGTGATGAAATAAGTATGAAGTATCAGCGCTGAATGTGAAATAATTTATCATACAAACTACATAAAGATAGGGCACTTAATCAGTAAGTCGAACAAATTATGCCTCAGAAATCCATATTTATTAAATTCTTTAGAAATGTAAATCACATGTTTAACAATGTTTTAATAATGGATTTAGAACATGTAAATAATTTAACAGCTGAAGAAAGTTGTGCTGAATGTGCAGTAATGTGTCGTAAAGGTAGCAAATGTAAACAAATAGTATTTTGACTTCCATACAAAATACTAATTCACTATAATTATACCAATTGCCAGCAAAACAAAAGATGCAAAGATAGTTCATTTATATGGCAAATAAGTATTTTTTGTGGAAACTGTAACAAGACACCAAATATTTAAAGTTTTTACAAAATAAAAATGATAGCATTTCTGAGGCATAATGTGCCTTAAATCTCTACAACTAGTACAATGTACTATACTAATTGTTAACAGCAACAGAGGAAATAGATTGTTAGGCTAATATATGACCATTGAGTAATCTATCGAAAATAAGTAACAGAATATCAAAATTTTATAGATTATATCAATTTTGAGCATCAGGGAACTTAAAACAGATTGAAATTCAGCCAGGACTGGTTGAATCGAAACTCGGTTATAGATAAAGTAGCTGTTTAAGTACTCATCAGGTTTCTAAATATTTACACAAGGAAAAAAAATGCTGTTGCTTTGTGTTGGTATTTCAGCGTGTGCAGAACACTCCTGCAATTTATCTGAACAAACACATGCCGAGGGAGAAAATACATTGTAATAATGGGGTTACTCCTGTTTTTTTCCCCATTAACAACTTTATCATGAGGATAAAAACATATTAAATATCGGTTTATATGACTTCTCTGGTAAATACCTAGATTATCGTTTTAAATCACATCTGAGTACTTAATGGTAGTGTGACAAATGTAATTCAAATCAATTTATTGACTTCATACAGGCAGTAGATAAAAGATTTGTAGCATCTATATGTCGTCTGGAAGCGGCGCATCAAAACAGTGTGTCACTTGTCGTCTGCTATCATGAGTGGAGATATTTACCATACGGTTTGGCACGTGCTATACGTCATAATTATGATACCAATCGTAGTTGGGAACGGGTTAATTATTTTAAGCATACTTAAAGATCGGAAACTTAGGACGAATATGCATATTTTGATAGGTAATTTAGCGGCGTCTGACTTGATTACTGGTTTGTTTTTAATACCATACGATCTCGGCTTTGAACGTGTTCTTGACCACAATATGTACATATGTTTCGGAAAACTGTCGTTATTTGTGATAAGCCTTGGCTCTCGTGCTATAACCTGATGCTGATTTCGTTTGAAAGGTTTATTTGTATAGTATTTCCGCTGACACATAGGCACCACTTTACAACAACCCGGATGATAATTTTGATCGCAGTTGGATGGATGCTTGCACTTTTGAATAGTTCTTTACCATTTATGGGATGGAATGTGTATTCTGACAATAATACAGTATGTATCAGTGACACATTGTGGTCGCCAGGCTACAAAATCATGGGTAAACTGGGAGCTTATTACAGCACTTATATTCAACTTTGTTTTGTACACAATTGTAATGAAAATTGCCGTTCGTAAGGCTTGCGACAAAAACCATATAAAGGGAGGAATAAGGAATACAGCTAAAATAGATAAAGATGTTTACCAAATGATGACGATGGTGATAGTTCTGGGCGTATTTGTCATCTGTTGGTTACCATACGTCTGCGCGGCTGTTGTTGTGACGTTCTATGAAACGCCTTATACGCAATATATCAGAAGATGTACACTTATTCCTGGAGTAATAAATTCGGCTGTTAATTGGCTTATTTATGGATATAGAAACAGTGAGTTTCGGAAAGCGTTTAAGGCGTGGTTTCAATGTCGTCTGCTGTGTAAAAAGCCAAACAATGCTACTGCTACTGTAACTTCAACACAGTTCACAATTACTTGATTTTTGATTTCAGTACAATGCACACATTTCGAAATGTTTAAGTTTAAAAGTTTGGGAAATGCCAATTACAAGTCACGTGTTATTGTATTGTGATTTTTTGTGTGTGTTTTTTTTTGTTAATAAATAATTTCATAGAATCATTTATATTTTATCGAAACATAACCGATGTTCAGTTTCTAGATTATTCATTTCAATAGTGAATTTCGAAGCTTGTTTAGGTGTCAAATTTAATGCCCTAGTTTACTGATACTTTACAATCAACAAATCTATTTAAAAATGTACTAATTTTAATTGACTGTGAAGTGGCTTTCTTCGATCGGATCTCTAATTTATAATAGATCTAAAATTACGAAAAATTAGCAAAAGGACTTTATCTTGGATTTTTATTAATTGTTTGAATCTGAAATGGCCATGACTGGATTTTAAATGACCATGTACGGTTCTAAGATACAAATGTATTCAAGTGCAAATCTTAGATTTTCTTGCATAAATCTAAGATAGTCAGGTATGAATCTAGGCACAGACACTTGGGGTGTGGAGCTTAAAACGCCTTTAAAATCCAAATAAAATGTATATTTGTCAATCCCAGCACATGTGCTAATCATATATATCAAAAAAAAACTTAATATAATCCGCTTTGAAAAAAATCATATTTCAACGTCTATAATAATTATAGATGTTGAAATATGATTTTTTTTTTCAAAACGGCTTATATTAAGTTTTTTTATATATATGATCAGTACATGTGCTGGGATTGACAAATACCGATATACATTTTATTTGGATTTTAAAGGCGTTTTAAGCTCCACACCCAAAATGTCTGTGGATCTAGGTTCGCTATGTATGGTTTAAAGATTAACATCTAATGATCTTAGAGATTCGATGTATTTGTAACTTGATTTAAAGTTACAACAGGCATTTTTTCCTCTATTTGGGGAAAATGCCACATGGCAAATTTGGGGAATTTGTATAGTAGAATTTTCCACTTTGGGAATTGAAACGTTTCATTTTTAATGCAGCACTCTTGCAGAGGAAATATTAGTCCATTAGGGCCTACTCATTCAAGAACATTTATATACGACCCCGAGTGTACGGGATTCGCAGGATTTTTCCAAACCACTGTTGTGACACGTGACCATGTTGAATAAATTATCTCCCCTACCTATATTGGCTACTGCGCTAGTAACGCACTAATTTTTGCAAAGAAGAAAACACGATATATTGACGCTTGTGTCAACATTCTTTTCGGAATAAGGACGACATTTACATAGTATACCAAATAAGACCAGAATTAACCGTTTACTTGACATTTTATTTCATTAATCCCATATTTTTATTATTTTCTACAGTCAAACGTGTATTAAGCGACCGCGCGAGGGAAACAAATTAAACGGTCTCTTAAGACAAAGCATGATAAAAAAGTCAAAATTTATACAATTGATTTTGCGGTGGGAACGTTTTTCAACTTCATTTATACAAATGTTTAATAATTAGAACGCTCCGATATTCTAAATGGATGCTAATGTATACAAAAATAACTTTCTGCTATTTATTGACAAAACGGTTTTGAACCATTACGTACATGTTTGGCATTTTTCCGGAAAATTTAAACTTCTCCGTTTTTCCTTGTCTCCAACACGAAAACCTTAATAAGTGAAGATGTTTTCTGTAGGGCATTTTTCATTTGAAATAAACAAACCACATCTGATTGTAACGATAAATTTAATTGCTGATCAAGTTCAAGGTCAATTCATTTCAGTTTAAATATCAACAGCGAATATTGAAAATGAATAAATAAAATTGAAAATTGAATCCTAATAAAATCAACAAATTGAAAAATAAATATAAAATTAAAGATTAAACACCCACATAAAATAGCGTATGACGTCAACAATAAGTTTTCACGTGTCCCCTTTTTTGTTGCGCACCGATCCGTCGGACGTTTTAAGAAAAACATCTATTGCACAAATTTTTGTTTTGAATGCCCCTTAAAATTTTATTTAAGCCTAAAAATTTCCAGTTAATGAAACAAATTTAAAAAGTCCATAAGAGAACCACTCTATATAATACAGTTTTTTGCAAAACATTTCTCTGAAGGTGATAAAATTAAGTCATGCCGCTATGGAGACCAAAAATGCCCAAAAAAAATCCAAGGAAAGCCGCCATTGTCACCGTCTTTACATCCGCGGATTTAAAAAGATTTGTGCTGGGGTTCCCGTTTTTACGTCCTGCTCTTTTACTTTCTTTTTGCAATAACAACCACACAAATATAGAAACCAACGTTCAGAGAAAGTACCAAAACAAAATTGACATTCATCCCGAATTTGCACCATCCTCCCCAGATGATACTTGCGTTACACTGTAAATTAGATACGTAACGTGAATCAAACGTATTGCAGCCGAAGATTGGCGAAAGAGTCCAAAACAGAACATAAATCCATCCAATGCAGACGACAATGCCAAGTTTTTGTTTTGTGAAGTGCGCATGCTTGAGCGGAAATGCTACAGCTGAGAACCGTTCAACGGAAATGATAAACAGTCCCATGCAGGATCCGCCTAACGTCAAAGTAAAAACTGATAGTTTTATCAAGCAGTAATATTTTTCCTGGTCGACGTGAAAAGAGTCACCAACTGTTTCTAACGGAAGTAGTGTTGCTCCAACCAGTAGGTCATTAACAGCAAGGTGACCAATCAAAATGTGTATTTTGGTGCGTAAACGCCGGAAGCGGACAATGCTCAGGAGAATCAAAGTATTTCCAAACACAGTCGGTAAGAACATAACGGCATCTATTACGTTCCAAATAATGTCGTATTCTTGTGTAGAAGTAAGTCCATAGAACAACATCTTGTCGCAGCTTTCATTCTTGAAGTGAAACATATTTGGTCCTTTCTTTTAGGAAGTAATTTACAGGTATAAAATGTCAAGCGAACGCATATGGCATAACATTGCAAACTGTGACACATCTGTTGATATTAAATGCCCGATGCCAAATGGTAAACTTATGAAAATATTCTGAATCAAACTTGATAACACATTACTAATATAAACGAAAAAAGATGTTAAGAATTTGAGTGACCTCTTCACTCATGGCAAGATAACCTCAAGCTTTAAGACACTGGTGTCAACAAATGAGGAGAAAATAAACACATTGATGTCTAAGGAACGATAAGACATGTGATAATGCTTGGCAATTCTGTTAGAGTGACAAAAATATCAATGTTTATCTCTCAAGTGGCTGCTATTTAAGCACTATTTGTTGACATTTAAAAGGACGTTATACGTCTTGTAATCTATATTATCTGTCACAGTTATAAAATCTTAAAGGAACTCCACTGAGGTCCAAAAGCCTAAAACGTAAAATATGAATTTCTTACATAGATCGGCTTAGACACTTAAAATAGAAAGATATGTTTAAGATAGTATAAAAGTATACTCGGAAATACATTGAAACTCGTATTTTTGTGTTTTTCTTAGCAAAGCGTTGCAACGTGTTTCAATTTCCGGTCATTTTTCACATTAAGTTTAATCATTCTAGTTAGTTATATGACTAGACCTTCATCAAATGAAAATTTAATCTCAAGAAAATATTTCCATTTCCGTCATGTCAAAAGACCTCAATGGAGTGCCTTTAACTTCAATCTGGAAGTCAAGATCAAGCCGGAAATTTTTCAATATTCTTTATAACAAGGCTATTTTTTCTGTAGTTTAAACGAAAGTGTTCTTGACTGAAATCTCGTTTTAAGCGAATGAAAATGTTGAACGCTAAGATAAAGCAAATACATGCTCTAAAAGTAGAATTGTCTGAGTGGACAATTTTCTTTTCCCTGTCAAAATAGGATTAAAAGCATCAAGTGAAATGTAAAACTGATTGACATGGCCGGAAGTTAAAGCGTCGTACTAGTCTAAGGATCTTTAGCCACCTGGGTTCAATGCCCATAAAGGACAAGCCGGTGTCTCTTCTAGCAAGAATCCTTACACCTATTGCTCAATACTAGTTGGTTCCAGGAACGAACCTGAGAGTGTGTCTAAAGGTTTATAGCTTGCTACACAATTGAACTGGAATACATTTTCTATAAACATATAAACAAAACTGATTGGCAGAAAGACAAGTTGATACAAGATTGGCGTGAATACCTTTCTCCTGGTCATTTTTTCTACCGAAAAAAAAACAAAAAAAAAACTAAAACACTAACAAAATGTCAATGGTAGGACAATGCCCTCAGTCAACTGTTTTTGTAAACATCCCGTCGTCGGTCGACCCGGTAAAAAAGTAAAAATAAAATGTTAGAATATTAAAAAATAATGTATCGCACCAAAGATTGGATTAAAGTTTATTACTTCATAAAATTATTTTACTGCCTACTTTAGTCCTGCAAACGGGATAAAGTTTTTCCCCCTAATGTTCCCACTTGAACTCCCAAACAAAAGTGCTTGAAAATACTAATTAAAATTATTTTAAACAGGTCACAGAAATCAATAATATCCGGTAAATGATACTGTTTATGTCCATACATTTAATAACAATTACGTGCATTTTACTAATTTACAAAACAGACACTCATATCGCAATATTTGAACGCTTTTGGCAATCAATTAATTATACAAGTAGTATTTATTTTTAATTTAAAAGTAGCGTTCGGGCGGAACAAAGGCATGGCGCCGAAGTAAATATTAAATGCCCATTACTGCGTTTTAAGCAGATTTTGTTTAGATTTTTACCTGTACTATTAATTGATTCTGGATTAATAACGCACAAACAATTGAAATACCCTTTTGAACGGAATTAAATAATAGAGAATAATGCATTTAAAGTACGGTTATGTACACAGTCATATAAAAATATTTTCGTACTTAACAATGAACAAGCAATTACTTTAACTAAATAGTACAACGTTCGTTAAATTAGTTATCTTACATTTCAATCTCAAATACGAAATAAAATCTGTGACACTACATACATGTAACTGATTCGGATTTCGGGTAATGGCTCGGATAGTGTGGATACTTTTTCTGTACACGATTTTTCCTGGAGTTGTAGGTTTTTCGGGGTCGAATGTAAAAGACGTCATCACCAAGTTATTTACTACAGACGGATACAGCAATAAGGTCCGGCCACTGCTGAGCCAGAGTCTTACACTCGTCATTAACGTGGAATTTTATTTGAATTGTAAGAATATTAAAATATCAATTATCATTATAAACCTGCGGTGGAGGATGTTGTAGTTGTTTTGTTCTTTTGTTTTTGTTTGCTTTTTTCTGTTGTTTTGCCGTTTGTTTGGGTGTTGTTTGTTGTTGTTGTTGTTTTTTGTTTTTTTTGGGGGGGGGGTCTTTTAGGGTTTGTTTGGGTGTTTTGTTCTTTTCTTTTTTTGTTTGTTTTGATTGTTTTTTTTTGTTTTTTTTTGTGTTCTTTTGGGGTTCGTTTTGGTGTTTTGCTCTTTTATTTGTTCTGTTGTATTGTTTGTTTCCTTGTTTTTTTTGGGTGTTCTTTTGGGGTTTGTTTGTGTGTTTTGTTCTCTTTTTCTGGTTTTGTGTTTGTTTGTTGTTTTGCGTTCTTTTGGTTATTTTTGTTCTTTTTTGTTTGATTTTTTGTTTTGTCTATTAATTGTTTTTTGTTGTTGTTTTCTTTGTGATATATTTATTAAAATTGTGGGAATGTCAATTCGAAATATGGGATAACAAAAAAACCCCACTGGTTTGAAAGCAATCTTTTGCAGCATTCCTTAGTTTTATTTACTGGTGGCAAAGGCTTTACATTTTTTTTTATTCAAGCCGACCACGTGACTATTTATAAAAACGTCTTAGAATAAAATATTCAAGACAATAGATACAAAATTTTGTTCCACAGTTTATCTTCCAGGACTAAGAATATCGAATTATTAGTATCATAATTTTTAGTTTAAATAAGTTTTCATTACACTTAGCTTAAGGAAATTTGCTATAGTTGTTTACCTGTATATACTCGTAATTAATAAAGAACTGTTACACAGAAAATATCTAAATTTTGCAAGATATAAGAACATGCTAAAAGAAGAATTAATAGGCACTGCGTATCTCATTCGTGACATATGTTCCCTTGAATCTATTATAATAAATTTATTTGTTAATTCAAATTTATTCAATGTTTTTGGTTTATGTTTGAAGTTCCTATTTATTTTGAAAACACATTTTATGTAATTCTAAAAACATTTGTGTTTTTTTTTCAGTTTGAATAAAGAGGCTGAACTTTTAACTTTTAAAGTATTATTATACTATTAGGTAGAAAAATGCAATTATCAGTCCGAGAACTGTCGAACAATCACCTGAAAGAAAGTTTGCTACCTAAAACTTTACGGTAGAAATTAAATCGTCTTGATTACATTAATTAATTAAGAATTATATTTCTTTAAAAATAAGTGCAAAAACTAAACAAGCTAAAGAGCAGATAACCCAAAATCAGATCGGCGTCTTATTTCCTTTTCGCTGGGATGTTTCAATCGATTAATAATATGTTAACAGCTTTCCGCGTCTTAATGAAAAACAAATGTAGTTAGCATCTTTAAGGTTCTTTTTGACATAAATTTGATTTTGAGTGAACTATTTGGAGTTGCTGTATAATCTTATGTAATATAACTTTATTGCTATTTTTAGCCGTCATTGACTTTGATGAGCAAGATGAGGTTTTAACAACATCCGGGTACTTGGCGCTCTCTTGGACCGATGAGTATCTTACATGGACACCGTCTGATTTTAACGGAACAACGGAAATATTTCTCGTAAGCGTGTTTTATGCATACAAGGTTCACAGTCCAAAATAAACAAGTAAAAATAGGTTTCATGCGGGGGGAGAGTTTTCATAATTTAAAGCTATTTCATTTAACTGTTTTCAAAATTATTTGAAAAAAAAAATAAATAAATAAAAAAAACGTTTGTGTCGAGAATATAGTTGATAATAATCAATCAATAGAAGGTCTTTGATTGTCACGTCATAGTATCTTGTTAGGTAAGGGTAGTTTATCACGTCGTACTAGTGTTAGGTCATAGAAGTTTGTCACGTCATAGTAGATTGTTAGGTCATAGCAGTTTGTGACGTTGTTATAGATTGTAAGGTCATAGAAGTTTGTCACGTTATAGTAGATTGTCACTTCATAGTAATTTGTCACGTCATACAAAATAGTCACGTCATAGTATCTTGTAAGGTCATAGCAGTTTGTAACATCGTTATAGATTGTAAGGTCATAGAAGTTTGTCACGTTATAGTAGATTGTAACTTCATAGTTATTTGTCACGTCATACAAGATTGTCACGTCATAGTAGTTTGTAATGTCATAGTGGATTTTCACATCATACCAGATTGTCACCTCATAGTATCTTGTAAGGTCAAACTAGTTTGTCACGTCGTTATAGATTGTTAGGTCATAGAAGTTTGTCAGTTATAGTAGATTATCACTTCATAGTACTAGTACTTTCACATCATACAAAACTGTCACATCATAGTATCTTGTTATGTCATAGTAGTTTATCACGTCGTAATAAATTGTAAGGTCATAGTAGTTTGTCACGTCATAGTAGATTGTCACTTCATAGTAGTTTGTCACGTCATAGAAGACTGTCACATCATAGTGGTTTGTCACATCATAGTGAATTGTCAGGCAATATAATCTTGTCACGTTTTAGTATATTGTCACTTCATAATACATTGTCACGTCAGAGTCAATACCAATGTTTAACCTAAGGTTTTGTTCGTCTGTACTTAGTCTAGTATATGACAGCACGAAATGGATAAGTCAGTAATAAGTTTAATATTCATTTTCAAATATTTGCAGCCGCAAGATGATATATGGAAACCGGATGTCTCTCTGCGAAACACTTACAACAGTTTTAAGGGTTTGGGCTCCACTTATCTCTACGTCAAAGTTCAACATAATGGCGAAGTAACATGGAAGCCGTTCCAAGTAATTTGCATGTTGTTTTCTTTTCTAAGAAAATTTGCTTAATGGAGAATACCTCTATGGCCAAAGGGTTACGATCGATTACTTTAAAGCGTCCTTTTTGTACTTCAGGGCATACAATTTTTGTCACTGTCTTTTTAGTTGCTTTTTATCGGCCGGAAACTGTTCAGCTACTTCACAAAAGGTCGGTGGTTCTCCCCAAATGTCTTTTCTTGCACGGAGTTTACTCGGAACCTTTTCATTCAACGGTCGACTTTGTCGTTATTTGACAAATATAGCGTACGTTTAACATATAACAGTTACTAAACAAAGAAAAAAAAGATCAAGTTATTATTTTTGTTATTTACGAAAGGCACATTAATGTGACATTATGCCCAAGAAATCCATATTTTTAAATACTTTATAACTGTTATTGTCAAACATGTTGTATAATTTAATGATGATTTAATAATGATTCAGAATAACTATGTTTAGTGATAATCAGCTAAAGAAATTAACACTGAACATGCAGTAATGTATCACAAAGGAAGCAAAATGTAAACAAAGTAGTATTTTGACTTTTATACAAAAATAATTCACTAATATTAACCCAATTGCTAACAGAGCAACAGAAGGAAAAAATAGTTCATCTATATGGCAGATGAGTATTGTTTTGGAAACTGTAACAAGATATTAAAACTAAAACGTTGATAAAGAAATTAAAAACGATAATATCTGAGGCATAGTGGGCCTTTAAACATACTCAATAACATATTTAAAGCATTTGTTGAAATTGATTAAACAATCTGAAAACAGATGGTTTATTTTCTTGAATAAATTTCCTCCCGCAGATTCTCAAATCAACTTGTGCTGTTGATATCAAATATTTCCCATTCGACAAACAGTTATGTGAGATCAAATTCACTGCATGGAGTTACACTCGTGAAGACATCGATTTGAATGCTGGAGCAAACGGTGTTACACTGGAGGATTATTCGACGAATGCCCAATGGGAGTTAACTAAAACCAGCTACAAGGAGGTCAACGATGATTCTGATGAAGCTGCCGTGATCTTTGAAATAGAACTTAAACGGAAATCAAGTTTCTACGTCATCAATATCATTGCACCTGTCATTTTGTTGTCTGTATTAAACGTTTGTACTTTTCTACTTCCGGTAGCGTCTGGTGAAAAGGCCGGCTACTCTGTGACAGTTTTCCTGTCGCTGGCTGTATTTCTTACTATAATTGCGTCTGAGCTTCCGAAGAACTCCGATGTTGTCTCGTTTATGTCCATTTATCTACTTTTAATGAGTATTTTGAGTACATTAATTGTAGCCTTGTCCCTTTTGCAGATACGTATGTCTGAGTGGTCAACAGAGCAAACACCTATTAATAGATTCCTTGTGTTATTTATCAAAATGTCACTGTTCTTTAGATGTAAATCTTGTTCAACAAAAATTGGTCCACGTTCTAGCACTGTCAAAGTTGTAGAAATATACGATGATGACAAAAAATCGCTTAAGTCTGTAAGTGACGACGATTTTGATTGGTCAGATGTTAATGACGCAATAGATTTTCTTTTTTTCTGGCTTTCGATGATTTTCACGTGTGTGTGTACTGTTGTCATTTTCTGCCTTTGTGTAACGCATGGTTAACCACGGATTTATGTTAGAAGGTAACGTGACTTGTTACATACTTAGTATACCTATTACACCCTTTATTGATAGGAGGGTATCTATCCTAAGAATGTATTTGCCAGGAATATAATTCGAGACATGTTGATACTTGTGTCACTAGAAGTGATAGAAGATTCTATTCTTTGCCAATGTTTTCTTATTGATAAACATACTGTGTAACTTAATGATATATGTATTATAAAGTGTAGACGTTGACCATTTCACTGTATTATAATTATGCTTATTGGTAATACGTACTGTGTACGCATAGGCATATTGTCCGGATGTTTTATGTATTAAACCCTTGAACCTCTTGTATTTTCAAACAAAGGCAAATCTTTCCATACATAAAGCAGGCATTGTATAAAATACTGATAAAATTTTGTGAAAAACAAGTCAGTTGTCGCTGAAAAGATTGTCATTCGTTAAAAATCACAATCAATACTATGAAAATGCAGTCCAGGTTAGCATTTTAATGTTACACAGCCATGTTAAAACGCAATTTATTGTTACTTTCTCTTAAACGGCGTTTGCGTATTAAGTTATACTATTGTACAAAAATGTTAAGGAACTTGTAAATCATGACTTATTTAGACAAAATACTTCGTTTTCTTGGCCGCCCTTTAATTTTTGATTTCAATGCACATTGTTACTGGCTCCTGGTTAACTTGAATTTATTTTTTTCTTCATTTTTGTAACTACATAAAAATGTTATTCTTAAAATTTATTTCTATATTGATTATATTAACAATTTATTATATAATTATAATACTGTTCATTTATAATTATTATGCTTTATATAGGACCAAGACCAATACTGTTGTAGACATTTTCGGCCGAAATGAAATTTGGTAAACATTCTTTTCTGTTGTGCTCATTGTAGAGTGGTATTTTTATCAAGCATTTTAAAGTTAAATTCTAGGGTCTAGATAGTTACCGTTTTTCTTTGATTTTAAATTTGAAATATACGAAAAAAGAAAAGAAAAATAGCACTCCCACTAAAAAAAAAACGTAATGTTGTTTATTCGGTTACATTGTTAGCCGTTGCACTGAGACGGAAAGTCCAGCAAGTAGAATCAAAGATCAATGATTATGCTAAATAGGTTCTACTTGAATTCTTTTAAGAATAGTTTGAAATTCGAGACGTTAGTAAAAAAAGTATATTGTGAAGTTTCAGAACAAATTTTCTACTAGATTTTGTTTTACTATAGTATTATGATAAAGTATATATTAAAAAGTTGAATACTTGCCAGATTTAAAGTATAAATATGAAAAAAGCTCTTAATCCGATATAAATTAAAAAACTTCATGATCTTGAAATTAGATTACAATTTTCTATCGCTTTAAATATTTATATGGCTTTTATAATTTATAATTACGCAGGTGTACACAAAAAAGGAACCAAAGTATTTTAAAGACTTCTATTAAAGCGAATTAGTCTATAATGGAATACACTGAAATACACTGACTAATTACGTTCAAAGAATTTAGTATCAGACATGATAACAACAGACCACAAAATAACTACAATGTATTCATTGTTTATGGAGGTTGTTGCCAAATGTGAGATACATGATCCGATATTACTTATACATGTACATATGAGCCGTGTCACGACAAAACCAACATAATGGGTTTGCGATCAGCATGGATCCAGACCAGCCTGCGCATCCGCGCAGTCTGATCAGGATCCATGCTGTTCGCTTACCAACCCTATTACAAGTAGAGAAACTGATAGCGAACAGCATGGTTCCTGATCAGATTGCGCGGATGCGCAGGCTGGTCTGGATCCATGCTGGTCGCAAACGCGCTATGTTGGTTTTTACGTGGCGCGGCTCAAATGTATTTATATAGCAGATGAACAAAATAATACTATTCATCTAATAAATGTTCATACCAATTCACTTAGAAGTATATAAACATTTTTTGTCAGACAACTTTTAAGAGAATATCATAATGATGCATTTCTATTGCTTTTATCAATATTTGATAAAGATTTGGAAAATGTGCCCATTGTATACCTATCTATTTCAAATGTGATATATTACTCAGCCTATATCATTCTTAATCTAATATGACTCATGTCTTAGATTGAATATTCTGAAACAGGCATTTATTTGGTACGATTTATATATTGTTTCATTCATCCTTCGATTTTGTTGATATATATCAAGAAAAAGGATAAAATGTGACATTTAAGAATGTCAGTTTAACAGTTGTTAGGAGTAGTTGAAATGAAGTTGATAGGAGAATAAATGTCACTTTATAGATATATCTATACAAAATTATTTTTTTTTCTTTTCCATTATAATGCAATGCTTGGATAAAATATAGTTTAGCAGTACCCTTTGTGCATACGTTTTTGTTACTATTCTTTTATATGTTTTCTTAGTGTTATTCTGAATTTCGTTATAGTTGTACAAAAGCGCGCGCGGATGAGGTCAACTGTACTGGTATTATTTTTCTTCTAGTGTCCGCTAAACTAGATGTGTTCCCAATACTTTAGACCTTTCCAAAGTAATGAACAAAAAGCCTTTTTTTTCATTTGAAAGGATTGTGTCAATGAAAATGACAATTTAATGGTATCTTTGACGTCTCTATAATTGCGGCTTATCCATAACATTTAGGATTCTAACTTTGATGTCTAAATTGTTTTATCTACGTCATGTTTTTTATTCAGTAAGTAAATCTGTTTGCCATTAATACATCATACTATTTAAAAAATGATTTTATAATTAATTCAGTTTCACCAAATTATAATTAATACTCATAGCATTTGTTAATCTGTAACATCAAACAAAAATAGTTATGATAGCTTATTTATATGTATAGAAAAAACAAAATTGATCGGTTTTCCTTACAAAGAGTTTTTTCGCTTTGATGTCACAGTATAATTTTAAATAAAACTTATGTAATTAATTATCAATTTAAAAGCTTACTGGTATTTAATGGTCTACAAATGGATTCACTAATGTACATTAGTATATAGTCATGATTGTAGCTTTAGATCTGCCATTCCGAAACCTACCGAAATTGGTATAATTGGAATAAAGCTAAAATGAAGAGAGATATTCTGTATACTCCAATTAAATTGGACTTGCTTGACACTGGAAATATTCGCATTATTATAATATAAGCATAAATATTTTCCCGAGAGTTAATATTCTTTATATTTCATCAACCTATCAATCATTCTAAAATATATACAACTTGAAAGTATCATATTTGCAATATGGTAAATTCATTTCAAAATTTATATTTTATTATTATTTGCATTGCCTTTTTTATACAAGACTTAGTATAGTGTATAGTGTTCTAGTAAGCTAGTAACGTCATTTAAAAGCAATGCTGGTACATCAATTGTTCATCCAAATTTGTCTAAAATTTAAACAAATTAATGTATATATACACAATAAATATGCAAACAATTTTTGTAATCACAGCCAAGTCAATTTAAATTTGAGACGCATGCACATCCGCACGTTTTCAAGTATTGTTAGATTATCATGAACACGTCAAATCAGTTAAGCAAAATTTTTCCCTTTTGTTGTTCTGTAAAATACATAATCTATGTATTGATTAATCCTAACTTCAACCTTTATACGAGAAAAAAATACATGCAGTCTGTTTTTGAACCATGATATATTTCTTGCTCACATTTTAACTAAAAACAATCACATGTTTGTGGTGATAAAGCATCAGTCAATGATACGTGACAATTGCTTTCTCTTGTATGTGTAATGTTAATCAAAGAACTAATCCTGCAAACGCTCGTAAAGTACAAACAACTTGGAGATAACAAAACTGTAAATATACACTGCTATGGAAAGCCATGGCTGTCTGATATTGTTCTTTTTCAATTTATGTAACCATTTGGATAATATATGAGTTCACTTCGACTATATATGAATTGAAAACACCTTCTTATTTAACCGGAATCCATTGTATTAATCCACAGTTACAATATATGAAACCATACCGTCAGTGTATGAAACCGAGTTAGCAATATATAAGTTGATTTTCTCAATATATGATTCCAATTCTTCAATATATGGTACCAAAGTAGCCATGTATGGAACCAGATGTCCTTATATGAAACCGAATTATCAATATATTAATTCATTTTTCAATATATGAAACCAATGTATCAATTTATGAAACCAAAGTAGAAATATATAAGTTGGTTATTACATTATATGATTCCAATTCTTCAATATATGGTACCAAAGTAGCCATGTATGGAACCAGATGTCCTGATATGAAACCGAATTATCAATATATTAGTTCATTTTTACAATATATGAAACCAATTTATCAATGTATGGAACCAAAGTAGCAATATATGAGTTGGTTATTACATTATATGATACCAATTCTTCAATATATGGTACCAAAATAGCCATATATGGAACCAGATGTCCTTATATGAAACCGAATTATCAATATATTAATTCATTTTTACAATATATGAAACCAATTTATCAATGTATGGAACCAAAGTAGCAATATATGACTTGATTATCACTTTATATGATACCAGTTCTTCAATATATGGTACCAAAGAAGCCATATATGGAACCAGATGCCCTTATATGAAACCGAATTATCAATATATTAAGTCATTTTTACAATATATGAAACCATTTTATTAATGTATGGAACCAAAGTAGCAGCTAGTATATAAGTTGATGTTACATTCTATGATAGCAATTTTCATTATATGGAACCAAAATAGCCTATTTTCAAGTAAAGGCCGAGGTCACTGGGTTCTGTTATTACAATGCATACACTTTTTCATGAAATCAATTATTATGTGACTGAATATTAAACTTTGTGAGTAGATTAACCTT